TCTGAGGTCAACATATCTTTAAAGTATACAGGCTGATTTAGTTCAGTAGGTTTTTCTACTATCCAATGTCTCTGCAGCTGTTGTTCCTTTCACATTAGCATTTAGAAAAATTCAAGGTTGATAAAGCATTATGTAATCAATTTCTGGGAGTCTTTATTACCCCTTTCTGTTTATTTAGCATATCCTTTAGAGTTAGATTTTTCTATAACTGATTGCCCTGTAATATGCTTTATGTTGTAATATGCAAAAAACTTTAATTTTACTAAAGACCTATGAACCACTAGTTAGCCATAGAAGCGAGGCAGTGGTAACCCACACTTTTAATTCCAGTACTGGTTGGGGGTATGGAGACAGGATCTCAGCCTTTTGGATGGAGGAAGGAGACAGATAGGAAGCAACTGTCCGCTGCTCCAGGTTCTCTGATCTTCCAGGTTTTTAACCCCATATTCGACTCCTGGTTTTTATTGATTAAAATTAATTAAATTATCGATTCACTCTACCTACTGAGTTCTGGGATTAAAGGTATGTACCACCCCTCTAGATTTTTATTGAGACAAGTTCTCCCATGTTCTATGCTGGTTTTGAACTGGTAAGCAGTTTTCTGTTTCAGTTTCCTAAATGCTGGGATAATTATAGGCATGGACTATCATGCTCAACTCTGTTTTTATTTTATGTATGAGTGTTCTATCTGCATATATGACTTTATATCAGAAGAGGGCACCAGCTCTCATTATGAAGGGTTGTGAGCCACCATGTGGTTTCTGGAATTGAACTCAGGACTTCTAGAGGAACAGCCAGTGCTCTTAACCTGTGAGCCATCTTTCCAGACCCCTCAACTCTTTATTCACTTAATTGATGTATTTTGGAGACAGGGAGGTTCTCCACTTACAGACATGAACTACAGTACTCAGCTAATTCATTATTTTTAGAATGAAGTTTATTGCCAGAGTCCCGTGATCATTAATTGCTTGAGTTGGGTACATTAAGAGTCTACTTCTCCTAGTGGCAGAGTATGGCTTTAGTTGAACTAATACTGTTCACAAATATTTAATATTATATGCACTGTGGGCAGCACAAATAAGGAGTGAGATAAGTAGTGGCGCTAGTGGACGGAGGGTCAAAGCCTAGGAAATGACACTGGCCAAATTCCCCATTTGTTAAAGCCTCTTTGCCTCACGAAAGGCTTCAGTTACCTTTTGTGGCTGTTAAGACTTGAATAAAAACTGGTTGTCTAATTGGATGCTATGTCAAGGAAAACCTTGAAGACTATAAGTAGTTAAAAAGTGAACTGGGAGACTCATCTTGGTTAGAGTTACCAATTGGGAGCTCAGATTTTTGCAGAAAATAAAACCCACCAGCAGAAAAAAAAGACTTACCCACATCCTCTTCTGACTGAATCACCTAAGTGTATCCTGGGTTGTAGGTAATCGGACTGTGAAAGGACAGAACAAAACTCTGCTGTCTTCTTTGTATAGGGTTAGGTTTTGATTTCAGGTGAGTTAACTGTTTTCAGCCAAACAGTTAGCAACTCTTTTCAGGTACATAACAGAAGTGTCTTGACTATTTCACAGTGTGTAGTATCCAGTTTAAGATACTAGATAGACCAAAGAGGAAATGTCACTCATTCATGAAAGAAAAGGGGATCACTAGAAACTTACATGTTGAAATGAGTAGACAAGTATTGGAACCATGTTCAAATATCAAAAGTCAGGTGTACTTACAAAGAATGGACAGATAAGGAAGTCCATTAAGAGAAAAACTGAAGAATTTAATATATGAACACTAAAATACCATTTGACAGGACACTAGAGATAATGTTGGTGAATCTGATGGTAGATTAATAGTAATTGTTCACTCTGTAATAAATATTAAAAACTATATGGAACAACTTGGCCATCATATTTTTCCTCAAGAGACAACTATAAAACTGGACAGTTTTCATGGAAAGAATATGAATGTTAGGTTGGCAGTATAGCTTAGGGGTAGAGTGCTTGCCCCAGCTTCAAGTCCTCATCTGGGAGGGTGAGTGTGGCAGTGCCAGAAGATAGCCAATCAGGAGTGGTGAGTGATGAAGACAAAAGCTCTTGGGAGGCAGGAGGTTTTTGTTTGTATATATATATTTGAGAATGTGTCTCTTATAGCCCAGTCTTGAACTTTCTGTGTAGTGGAGGATGTCCATGGACCCGTCTCCATTTTCCATGTGTTGAAATTACAGATGTGTGTGACTGTGCCTGACTGAGGAAAGAAGATGACTGCACAGGGAGTCTCTAGAAAAAAACAAAACAAAGAATATGAAGTTTTAATTAATAAGACAGCTGCAGACATTCTTAGCCTCATGCTTTTCAATTATCAGAATACTAACATAAATATTTTTGTTATATTTTCCCTAAATATATCAGGGCTTAATTTTTCTTAACTAGGTTTGATTTTTTCTTTTAGTGTGAATGTTTTATGTGCACCTATATATGTGTACCACTTGCATGCCATGCCTGGTGCCCATGCAAGTCAGAAGAAGAGAGTATCAGATCTCCTGGAACTGGAGATACAGAATGTCGTGAAGCTACCATGTGGGTGCTGGGAATCAAACTCAGGTCCTCTTGAAAAGTAACAAATGTGTTTAAGAGCTGAGCCATTCCCGTGCCCCCAGATGGTAAGGTGGGGGCATTTGGCTGTGTTGTACAGGCTAGTGTTTGAACCTCCAGTTTTAGTCTCCCAAGCATGACAATCTCTGCTTAGTTTACATATGACAATCTTGTCTTGAAGTGTTTAGGAACTCATTTGACATATTCTGTGTTGAATTTTTGTATCCTGTGAGCTTGTTGAAATTAGTTATTAGTTCTAGTAATTCTTTTCCTATATTATCGATCCTTTGGGACATTTTACTTAAGACTGTTTTATGCAGACCAGGCTGACCTTGAACTAAACAGAGATCCCCCTTTGTCTCTTAAATGCTGTTACTAAGGGCTTGTGTTAACACGCCATTCCCTTGTCTCTACCTTTACAGACATATGCTATCATGCCTGGTTTATTGGGTACTGTGGAAGGAACCCAGGGCTATGTTCCTGCTAGTCAAATACTCTGCATTACCTACCCATTGAGTCATATCTCCAGCCCTGTAGTTTGTCCTCTTATATGCAGTTTTCTTGTATTTTGTTGAATTTACATCACTACTCATAAGTAATAATAATAATCTGTAGTTTCCTCTTTTGTGATATCTTATTTTGATTTAATATCAGGGTAATAATGGCCTCATAAAATGAGTTGAGAAGTATCCTCTTCTATGATGAGAGGAATTTGTATAGCATCAACATAATTTTATGCATGTTTGTTAAAATTACTACTTAAAACATCTGGACTTCTGTTATTTGTGGGTTATTTTGATATATAATATTATTATAAACAATCTTATTTTGCATATCAATCCAGTTCCCTCTCCCTCCCATCCTCCCATGCTGCTCCCTGACCCCCCCAATCCACCCCCATCCACTCTTCAGAGAGGGTGAGGCCTTCCATGGGGGATCTTCAAAGTCTGTCACATCATTTGGGGCAGGACCTGGGCCCTCCCCTATGCATCTAGACTGAGAGAGTATCCCTCCATAGGGAATGGGGTCCCAAAGTCCATTTGCTTACTAGGGATACATTCTTGTTCCACTGCCAAAGGCCCCCTAAACTGCCTAGGCCTCCTAACTGACACCCACATTCAGGGGGCTAAGTTTAGTTGTGGGTCATCTTTGATGACATCTTTTCCACATTGTCTTAATTTTTTGGAGCCTTTTTCATTAGTTTGTTTGTCTGGTAAATTTGTCTATATTTTTTTGGTGTATGGTTCACATAATTCTTAACAATTATTAACAATTGTTAAGGTTGGCAATAATAATCCTCATTAATCCTCTTGATTAGGCTCACCTAAGGTTTATTCCATTTTTTATTTCACAATTTTTTTTATTTTTTTGAGACAGTGGCTTTGGAGGCTGTCCTAGAACTAGCTCTTGTAGACCAGACTGGTCTTGAACTCACAGAGAGCCGCCTGCCTCTATGTCCCGAGTGCTGGAACTAAAGGTGTGCACCACCACCACTCAGCTCCATTTTTTTTTTAAACAATTACTTCTTAGTTTCTTAAATTTTCTTTTCTATTTCTGGTTTCATTAATCTGTATTCTTCTGTGTGCGTTTGTTTTAAATTACTCTTATGCTTCCAGCATTTAATTTTTTTGTCTTGTTCTTTGTTTTTTTCAAGACAGGGTTTCTATGTGTATCAGTCCTGAAACTCACTTTGTAGGCCAGGCTGGCCTCGAATTCACAGAGATCTGCCTGTCTCTGCTTCCCAAGTGCTGGGATTAAGGAACGTGCCACCACTGCCTGGTCTTCCAGTATTTCATTTATGTGGATGGGTGTTTTGCCATATGTGGGTGTGCAGCACTTGCCTGCTTCTTGTCCATGGGCACCCGATCACCGTGAACTGTAGCTACGGGTGGTCATCAGTTGACATATGCCTGCTGGGAGTCTCTTCTTATAAGAACAGTGAATGTATTTGCCAGCTGAGCCATCTCTCCAGCCCCTGTTGCCAATATTCTACAGTGAAATGAGATAGAGCTTGTTAGGTAGATCTCTTGAGTTTGAGGCCAGTCTGGTCTACATAGTGAGCTTCAGAACAGCCAGGTTATATAGACAAATGCTGTCTCGAAAAGCCAAAAAAAAAACTTTAATATTATCAGTATCACTGTTTCATAGTTTCAAAATGTGCTTGGGAGATTGTAGGTATTAGTATTCTGCTACTTGTGTTTTTTAAAACTATTTTTTTGAGGCAGGTTCTTCCTATGTAACCCTGGCTAATCTTGGACCTGCTACGTAAACCATTTGACCTCAAATTTGTGTTGATCCTCCTGCCCCTGCCTCCTGAGTGCTTGGATTACAGGCATGTGCCATACTGCCACTTTTGGTGTTGTTTGATAATACATTGAAGACATGGTAACTAATTTGTATTTCTTTTTTTTTTTTAAGATAAAAACAGTGGTTCTGCAATTAACTCTGATATGATGGAAAATAACAAGGAAGAGGTAAGTAGAAATTGAAACATTTTATAAAGATTATTAATAATAAATTAGCCTATTAGTTTTTAGCACTTTCAGTTTTAATGTATACTAACATTTAAGGCCACTGTTGTATGCACTGATTATTGTGATACTTTAATTTGGTTGTTGTTGAGTTTGTTAAAGTGTTCATTTTTATCATGCAGTTCACTTAGCAGTTTACTTTAAGGTCAGAAAACACTGGTGTAGTTTAGTGTTAGAACACATGCTAAAGGTGGTGCCTCAGGATCCACTCCCCTATCAGTGCTGGAAGTTTGACTTGCTTGCTTGATCTTGTGCAGGTGACCACAGCTACTGTGAAGTAGTACATTTTATTAAATGTATGAAATTTTCAAAGAACAAAACAAAACTTAATTAATGGAAGAATACATGCTAGGGGTCTTGGGTTACATATCTAGTGCCATTACCCTCCTTAAAAAAAAGAGACAAATTTAATCTTCAGTTAAGGAAAGCCTAGAGTAATGAGAATTGGTGTGTGTTTGTGGTGGGTGTGGTGGGTGGGGTGGGGTATGCTGGGATGGGATGGTGGGCTGTTGGTGTTTGTCTGAACCTAGGACTTTGCAGCTTAACTGAGGTACATTCTCAACCTCAGAATTTGTTTCTAATGTTCCTTGAAAGACAGATTTTAGGCATACAAACTAGTGCTTTGTTATATTACTGTAAGAAAAATCTTCCTACAGTAAGATGATTGATTACAGAGATGTTGTCACTGGGAGACTTTTACTCACCTTTGTGTTTCCCCCCTCATGTTTAGGGAACTAGCACCTCAGAAAAATCCAAATCTTCAGGATCTTCAAGGTCAAAGAGGTGAGTTCATGGTGAAAGGAGTAAAATGTTTCCTTCTTCCTTCCCTCCCTTCCTCCCTCCTGCTCTTCTTTCCCCCTTCCCCCTCCCCCTTTTCTTTCTTTGGATTGGTTTACTGTTTCTGAAAATACAATGTTCTTTTTATCAACTTACTTCAAGTGCCATTGTTTTCAAATAAACCATTCCATACAAATCAGAATGCTTAGAGATGAGTACTCTAATGAAATAAATCCCATTAGATCTGTTAGGCAGTTTCAGTTGAAAGAAAATTTTAGAGAATGATTTATATGTTAGTGACCCTTTCAGTGCATAGTCCTTTACAAAGAAGGGAAATATTGAATGTCTTTTATAACAATATGCAATATTGTTTAGGGTGGGAAAAAGACATTTTTCTTGTACATCATAAGAAGTTCAGATTTGCTAAGGTGTCTTTTTTCTTTTGAATTGCCAAACTATCCTTAAGGACAGGAATTATTTCCAATTATACCTACAACTCATGGGTGGGTTGCCCTTCCTAGAATTTTTCAGTGTGGTACTACTTGCTTTTGCCATTCTTTATGCAATAGAACTATCTCTTATTAAATGCAGTTTAGTTATTATTGGTTTATTCTCCAGAGCAGTGATGTGAAAATAATTTCTATTAAAATTTGCTTGTTACCAGAATATGTGTATGTTCAGTCACAATCTTTAGTGATATGATAAAGAGCTACTTGTTTCCACCAGTGACTCTGATGGCATCCTTGCTATGCAGCCACTATTATATCTAAACTTGTTAGTTATGGTCTTGGTTTGTTGTTCCAATTTACAGAAATGCCCATAATTCTATGACCTTTACTCTTTTATAGGAAGCCTACAATTGTGACAAAATATATAGAATCTGATGATGAAAAACCCATGGATGAGACTGTAAATGAAAAAGCTGCTAATGAGAATTCAGAAAATGATATTACTATGCAAAGCTTGCCAAAAGGTAATGTGCATTAATTTTTCATATGAAGCTAAAAAGAAATGTATTTAACAATGACCATTGGTGTACATTGATAGTGGTCTGGAAATGTATTAGATTGGAAATGAAAACATGCTATTTAGGTTGAAAATGTGGGATAGTTCAGTTATTTAGTTTTTAAAGAACAAAATCAAACATTTTTCCTTTCCATTGGATTTGTAGTAACGGGATGACAAACTTTGCATTACATTTGAATATGGAAGTAGGTTTAGAGATTTAGGATACTAAGTTTTGACTTAATAAATGTCAGTGTTCTTACTTATTTAAAATGTAATGGCTATTCCTGAAAAACAAAAAGCATTTTATAGTCTAACTGAATTTATTTTTGTGCAGTGCTGAGCTTTATTTTCCAGAGTGTTTTGCATGATAGGCAGTATCACAGTCTTAAATTGTACCCTGTCTTAATGCATTCTGACATCCCCTACACATGTTAACTATTCAATAGATTTAGGTGTATTTCTTGAAGTTATCCTTTAAACAAGCCTTGTCCAGACCTTTTGAGTGTTGTAGTTCTACTTGTGAAACATTATTGATTAGAATGGAGAGTAAGATTGCCAAATTTTACTTCATTGTTCAAGACTGAGAGCTGTGTGATTAGATGTTTAAAGAATGATAAAGGTCTTGGTGATTTTTATGGTGATTCAAATTGTCAACTTTTTAGAGTTTTGTTTTCCTTTGCTCAATAATTTAGTCTCTTAGCAGATGTTTTATAGCAGTATTTACTAAACCTGATTCTCTGTTTATATTTATGCTTATGACTTTTTTCAATTATGGAAGTTGTTGAATGTGAGTATGCAAGTTTGAGCTTCACTTAAATAGGGTAAGTTAGGATGTTAGGAAATACAACATGAAAAATGAACAAAATGAGATTGATGGAGAGAAGAAAGGTAGAAGAAATGGATGGTGACTGTCATTTACTTGGTTTTTGTAACTTATCTAGCAATTTTACATATTTGTTTTGGTGGCTGTCAGTAGAAACAACTAATGTGGGAGTTTGGGTCCTAATGGCAGTTGCTTACCTTTGGTTCTTGTTGAGCGTCACTGGAAGTGCTTCAGTGTAAGAACTAGGAATCCAAGTCTTTCTTTTAATGGTAATGTAGTCGGAAGTTGGTATACGATGTTACCAACCTGAACGAAACAATTTTATTTTCAAACAAGAACTGTTTCATAAGGTTACATCTGGGTGACTATTTTCATTGTTACAGTACTGTATTGAATATGCATAGGTCAGTGAATTTACCTCATTTAATATTCTAAGCCAGTGGTTTCTAACTTTCCTAATGCTACAGCCTTTTACTAAAGTTCCTCATGTTGTATTGACTACCAACCATAAAATGATTTTTGTTGCGACTTTATAACTAAATTTTGCTTCTGTTAGAGAGTCATAATGTATCTATTTTCTGATGGTCTCAAGCGACCCATCCTTGAAAGGGTTGTTTAACAACCCCCAAGCGGTCACGACCCATGAAAACCTTTGTTCTAAACAATGTGCTATATAGTAGCTATTGCTTCTATGCTGCTAGAAGTTTAGGATTAAATTCAGAGCTCCAGGGATTTTCTCTACATTAGGTTGAGAAGCACCGATTTCAGCCCTGGCCTGCTTTAATCCAGTGCTAGAGGGTATTCTTTCAACTACTGCTTGCTTCCATTTAGAAAAATCTTCAGGAAGGAACACTTTATTTAGTTTTAAATCTTGAAAGCTCTTCTCTGAAAGTATATACATAAAATGATTGAGCATTTAAATTTACCACAGTCTGTAAACTCTTCATTTCTCTGTGTGTGCCCTCCCAGCCTTTTTTAATTCAATCCCCCAGACTTAAATACTCATTTACCAACTAGATGCTAATACTTTGCCAAAATCTGCTTGCTGAGTTACATATTGCTATGTTTCAGAGGAAATTGTGATGATCCCCTGCTTTGACTTTCTTAATTGTTGCCAATAATGGCCACTTTAGTACTAAACCCAGTAATGTAAGTAAACATTGCAACTTAGACCCCTTTTATGATGCTCATTTTATTTGTTCTTTTCTCAGTTTGGAAGTTTTAGAGTTTATGGAAGGATAAATCCTTCCAAAACATTTTAGTAGACACCAACTGATAGATGATCTTATTCAACATTTTATTGGTAGACTACTTTAGCGTAAGTGTCTTAAAGCAACCTTCAGTTTAAAGCTCAGTTGGAAGCTAGGGAAGCTTTGATGTCCTATTGAGGAAATTGTGTAGCCTAGGTACAGCAGTAGTAGACTGAACTTCATTGTCCTACCCCCTGCAGGCTCCTCCTACCAAAGCAATGGAAAAGAACTCCTAAAAATCTTTAATAATGTTTTTTTCTAATTTGGACTGTGAGAAAAATAGGATGTCTTCCCCTTCTACCAGTTACTTTAGACTTTATAGGGACCTTAGTATGAATGTTCATTTCATAATAGCTTTTGTGATAGACACTATATAAACATTGTGAGCTGGGATGAGGCTTTCTATTTGATTGACACATTTCTTTTAGTTCATAATACTTTCCCCTCCTACTTTTATTATCTCTAAACTGCAACAAGTAATTTTATTGTTGTTACCTGGCCCTTTTACGACTACCCTGTGGTCCTCATACTAAAAGCTTGACAGAAACAAACTATGTACCAGCAATGTTGGCTTTATCTGAACTGAAGTCTTGTACTTCACTTGCACATTTAATATGTGTAATTGGTTTTTTAAATGAAATCATTCTAGGTACAGTGATTGTACAACCAGAGCCAGTGCTGAATGAAGACAAAGATGATTTTAAAGGGCCTGAATTTAGAAGCAGAAGTAAAATGAAAACTGAAAATCTCAAAAAACGCGGAGGTAAATACAAGTGAAAATGAAACGAGTTTAAATTGCTGTCTATGACCATATTGGAAAATCTGATATGCTTACTAAAAATACCTCCACTTTTCTGCCCATTGTTTATTAAAAGCACTACTTAAAAATAACTTCTGTTTCTCTTTGCGCTCTGAAGCAGAAAAGGTTAAAGTCCATTTTCCAAAAACACCTTTGCCTTCAGTGGCTAATAAGTTGTTGCAAAGAAGCATAGCATTTCCTCTCCACTCACTGGTTCTAGAATACAAACATGCCAGAATAGCACGAGCGTCCTCTACAGTGGGAGCAATTTAAAGGTTGTGCAAAGAATTTTCCTGTGACCTCCATGTAATTTCATACATACTCAGAGCAATGCTGTGTACAGCTATAGAGCACGGCATTAATTACTACTTGGAGTACTTATTAAAAATACCAGTCCTGGGACTGGAGATAGGACTCAGAGGTTAAGAGCACTGGCTGCTCTTCCAGAGGTCCTGAGTTCAGTTTCCAACAACCACATGGTGGCTCACAGCCATCTGTATTGAGATCTGGTGTGCTCTTCTGGCTTGCAGGCATACATGCAGACAGAACACTGTATACATAATAAATAAATAAATCTTAAAAAAAAAACCAGTCCCTTCATTCATGACAAGCTGGAATTTCTGGATGAGGTCAACATTGTGTTTTGGTTTGTTCTTCATGGACACTACAGTTGCATTGCAACAGTAAATAGAAAAGATGGGAGCGAGAGTTGATGAGCCTCCTTCCATCTGTCAGTTGCCTCACTCTTTGTCTTCCCTCATACATGGCCAGATTACCTAGCCATCTGTAGGAAGAGCATCAGGAGAATTTACTTAGAAATCTATTACAGTTGCATTTGTGTCCCACTTTTTTGTGTGTGATTTTTAAATGGTGCCTGTATATGGTTTTTGGGCAGAATAACAGTCAGAATCTGTAACTATGAGATGAATGAATCTGAAAAGTAGCACATGACAGTAAATTTCCAAGTGGCAGTCTTATGGAAGTATCCATTTAATGTTTATAATACATAATCATGAAATTATACTGAGGCTCTTGGAGAAAATTTTAGATTTTTACTTTAATGGTATGATTTTCTTGATAAAACTAGTAAATTTACTTAAATAATTTGTTAGGTTGCAGGTAAAAAATCAAGAAACTGTTCTTTAGTCTTTTGTTCACAAGAGGGTGTTCAACCCCTTTTGAGCATAAAAATATTTTTCTGAGAGTCTTCAAATTCATAGTAAGGAAGCTCCCATTTCAACAACATAGGTCAACTAAGCTAAGGCACTATTCTTAAGCCTTAATCATCATATACAAAGTAATGGTGAGGACCAGTAATAATGTCTTTCTTTTGATCATGGGTCCCATCATGAAAACAGATGACTGTACAACATTGCATTACGACTAATGTCTGGGTGGTGTCTTTTAGGAAGAGGCTCTAGAGCAGTCAGTGCTTGCAATGTTGATACACCTTGAAGGCAGAATAAAAGGGGGCGCCACTGTTGCTTGGGAGGGGATTCCTAGTGCCATTTTGTTATGCTGCTGTTGCTTGGGTTTAGCAGACCTGTTTCTGGATGTTCTGTTTTTGGATGTTCTTTGTAAGAATATATCATGTTTGTAGTAACATGGTAGTTCCTAAATATTTCATGTTTATTTTAATCTCAGTGATTTGCATGTCTTAGCTGTCAGGAATCTCATGAAATATAATTTTAAGACTACTAATATGTGAGTGTGAGAATAAACCAGTGGCCTGAGATAAAGGATGGCTATAGTTAGCATTCAGGCATTTTAGCAGAGTAGTTCTAAAATGGAACTTGAATTTAGAACACTGTGAGAAATGCATACTTTATATGTAAAATAATCTTAATTTCGAACAAAACTATGTCACAATAATAAAGCAAACGTGCATTTAGGAAGCTTAAACCTAGCTTGTTTTGATATACTTTGCCCAGTTAAGTTGTTTAAAACTTAGATTATACAATTTTTCTACATGAAAAAAATAATTTTATTTTCCTTAAAAAACTAAAATATATTGAGCTAATAAGTGAAAATGCCTCTTTTCCATTTACACAGTTACAATATGATACTTCATAATTAAAAATTAAAAATCAAAACCTTCATGTACAGAAACAAGTACATAAGTAAAATAACATTTCAACATTTTACCATATTTGCTTCAGATCTCACTTAAATAAAATATTGATTCAGTCCTACTCTCATCCATTTTCCCTTCTTCCTACCCCACAGGTAATGATTATCTTAAAGTTTTATGCATGTGCATGTATGTGCATGGTTATCTATATCAGTATGTGAGTCAAAACCATTTTTATTTTTAAAAAGTCTAAAAAATACTATGCTCTTTATATGCTTTGGGAGTGTTGATTTTTTTTTGAAATTTATCCATGGCAATAAATGCATGGGTTTAGTTTCATTGCTCTATACAATGTTGTACCAGTACAGTGAACTGCCATCTATTTCCCAAGCAAGTAGTAGTGTCTATCCTTATCTATTATTCCTTTTGCACATGTTAAAAAATCTTCAAAGGGTCACCAAGTTAAAAAATAATGTGTAATATATACAAAAGCATGTAGTTGTTTAATGAATAGAATTTAATATTAGATGAATATTCAAACTGTAGCATTCATTTTTCTTGTTTATCTTAAAACGTTATTTAACCTGAACAAGTAATTATATTTTTCTTTTAAAAACAACAGACTACAGGTATATCTAAGATCAAAAAGATTGACATAGGACACTGATTTCATGTGTAACAGCATATGTAGCAAGCCTTCAGATTCTCTTTTATGAAAAAGTATGATTGTGTCCTTATACTTTAAGTTTAAAACACCTACAAATAAAGATACACTAATATTTAGGTCCATGGTGCTTTGGACCTTAAAACTAACAAAAATACAAAATAAAGAATTAAATGGTAAGAAATATATGTGGTGTTTTACTTTTTATTTAGTCATTCCCCACCAGTTGCCTCCTTTTAATTTTTGAATACAAATTTGCACTGATTGATTTTGAAGGATAATCTTATCATTTAATTTGGATCAAAGGTCTTGATTGTATATCAGGATCATCTGTATAAAAAAAAGGTCTTATTTAGTGTTTAGCGGTAGGAATTGCTTTCTGTTGTCTGTCTCTGTTTCTCTTTGTCTATCTGTATCTTCTCTTCCCCTTCCTTCCTTCCTTCCTTCCTTCCTTCCTTCCTTCCTTCCTTCCTTCCTTCCCTCCCTCCCTCCCTCCCTCCCTCCCTCCCTCCCTCCCTCCCTCCCTCCCTCCCTCCCTCCCTCCCTCCCTCCCTCCCTCCCTCCTTTCTTTCTTGAGACAGGGTATCACTATGTAGCTCAGGTTAGACCCAACCTTCTGGGCTCAGGTGGTCCTCCTGTCTCAGCCTCCCAAGTTGCTGGAATTCCAGATCTGTGATTGGGTTGTTTTCCTAAGATTTCTCCAATGATTTGATATTCTCAGAATGAGACATGACTAGGGACCAAGAGTAATGTAGGAGTGGCTGGAGAGATGGTTCAGTGGTCAAGAGCACTGGCTGCTCTTCCAGAGGATCTGTGTTTAATTCCCAGCATCCAAGTGGGTCACAACCACAACCAAGTGATTGATTCCCTCTTTTGCCCTCTGAAAGTAACAGATATAGTGCAGGCATACTCCCGTACACATAAATAATAGAAAAAACGAGGCAGGTGAGGTTTTCTGCTTTTTTTTTCTTTAATAAGTTGTCTTTGTCTTATTCTCATCTCTCCCACCTTCTCAAACATTCTGCTTGCTGAGAAGATGCCTTATTTGGATTTGTCACAATGTCATATCTGCAAATAGTAGACGTGATTGATAAACAGGTTGTCAAGTAGTAAGGAAGGTAATTGGTGATAAGTAATGTTGAAGTAAATATTGGGAATTGGTGATACCATAAATTACCCAGTTTTTATGTGCCATATTGATAGGATCTATGTAAAAAAGGTATTTAAGAAGCCCAACCTTTATGACATGTCTAACTTAACTGTAGAATTGAAAAAGAATATGTTCCACCATTGCCACTTACTTTTTCATTCTCTCAGAACCGATACTGAATTTGTTTGCAAGGAATTAGCAAATGCATAAACTTGAATCTGGGTGTGGTGGTGTGTGTGCCTATAATCCCAGAATTGGGGAGACTGATACAGGAGGGTTGCTGTGAGTTTGAAACCAACATGGGCAACTTTTCAAATATGAGACCAGTCAGGGCTACATAGCAAGAACCTGTCTCAAAAAACAAAGAGCTTTTAACCTCATTTTAAGGATTTCTTTATGGTATCTCTTTAGGTTATATCAACTTGTAATAAGCGGGTTTCACATCTGTATGATGAATGTAGTTAGCATTTATGTCTCAGAGTCTGCCAAGTTTGTTATGGTCTTTTAACAGGTCAATAAAATTAACCTTTTTAACCTGTGTTCAAAATGTCATTTTCCCAAGGATTATGAGACACATTATTTCTAATACAAAGGTTGTAAAATTCTGGCTAAGGCAAATATCGTTTTTTCTGTGAGTGTAAATATGTGAGTAATGGTCACTTTTTCTTCCTAGAAGATGGACTTCATGGGATTGTGAGCTGCACAGCTTGTGGACAACAGGTCAATCATTTTCAAAAAGATTCCATTTATAGACATCCTTCACTGAATGTTCTTATTTGTAAGGTATGTAAAGATTTGGTGATAAGGCTTTGCCCCTTGGAGGACTCCCAGTTTGTGAGGAACTCAGACATGTAGAGGAATATCCTGAAAATGGCTGTCGTGTGAAAGATACTGTGATTGTGTTGCATACTGGAAGCTTGTGTCATTAGAACTTGTGTCATTAGATACAAGTTGACACTTAAAATCTCAGCAAGAATTAGATTGGTTAAATGGGATTAGTTTAGCATGTTCTAGATGGGTGGAATGGTATTCAGAGGTTGGGAGGTGAAGGGGAGCCAGATGTCTTTCAAAAACCTGTGCATATGTGTGGTTTATAACTTTCTATCTTGCGTATCCTACTTCTCTAAATATCCATGTCAAACACAGTTTTATTATGACTAGGAAATAAAGAAATTTAAAGTGTTTCATATATGTTAATTATAGCTTTTAGCAGTCTTTGTGCACTTTTAAAATTAGTAACACCCCAATTTATCCATCCATCCATCCGTCCGTCCGTCCGTCCGTCCGTCCGTCCGTCCGTCCGTCCGTCCATCCGTCCATCCATCCATCCATGTACTTATTAAGGTTTTTTTCCTGAGACAAGATTAGTTTCTCTGTGTAGCCCTGGCTGTCCTGGAACTTGCTTTGTCTACCAGACTGGCCTCGAACTCAAACCTGCCTCTGCCTCCTGTGTTCTGGGATTAAAGGTGAGTGCTATCATGCCTGACCAAAAGCCTGGATTTAATTTCAAATATCTATGATACCAAGGTTGCAGGATCTCTAGCTCATATTGGATTAAGAGTTATTTTGTTTTAGCTCGTTCTCCAATAAAAATCTACTACCTTCAGCCTGGAGTAGTGGTGCCCAGCTTAATCCCAATACTTAGCAGGCAGAGATAGGTGGATCTCTGTAGATTCCAGACCAGACTTGTTTACATAGTGAGTTCCATGCCAGGCAGAGGTCCACAGTTGAGACCCTGACTTAAAAATTCCCCCTTTGAAATTCAGGCCATATTTTTCTTGGTATGCTAGATGTTTCCTGGCATGAAGTTTTGATAGAACAACTCTACTAAGCTTAATTTTGTACCTTGCAATATTCTCCTTCTTTCCTAGAATTCATTTCACCCAGAGGCGTATTCAGAGTATCTGTTGATATGTTTGAAGTTCTGACAACTAAATTTTTATCACTGGGTTTGATATTTGCTCTCTTTCCTTGTATACCTGACTGCTGTTTTCCAGTTTTCCATAGGGTCTGCTATTGAGCAGTGACTATTTCACTAATAACAGAGAACATTTCACTTTTCTATTCCCATTGGAATTGAATTAGACTAATCAGACTTGGATTTGAATAATTGCTTTGCTTCTTAGGCAATTCGTTACAATAGGTAGTGGATATTATTCAGCTGTTAATGAACCTCAGACTTCCCCATCATGATATCTCCTACCTTGCATGGTAGATTTTTTTGAGATTTATTTATTTGGTTTTTGTTTTGTTTTGTATTGTTTTTCCAGACAGGGTTTTTTTGTGTAGCCCTGGGTGTCCTGTAACTCATTCTGAATATCAGGCTGGCCTCAAACTCAGATTGCCTGCCTTTGCCTCTGGTTGGATATAAGGTGAGCTCCACTACCACTGAGTGATATTTTGAGATGTAAAGATAATGCAGGTTGTTAATTGTTTAGCTTATAGATATATTAATTGTTTGTATATGCTGACTATTCAACATTTTTTTTTTTTTTTGTTTTTCGAGACAGGGTTTCTCTGTGGCTTTGGAGGCTGTCCTGGAACTCACTTTGTAGACAAGGCTGGCCTCGAACTCACAGAGATCCGCCTGCCTCTGCCTCCCGAGTGCTGGGATTAAAGGCGTGCGCCACCAACGCCCGGCGTCAACATTTTTGTTTTTATGCATATTTGTTTTTATGTGCAACTAGTTGTATGAGATTAGAAATGTTTACTAAATAGAATCGTTTAATATGCTTTTATGTTAAGAGTAGTGGCTGTGGATTCCATTTTAAGGAATCACTTTCTTGAAATAGTCTTATGTGTAACAAATAGTATTGAGTAGTACAGTGTTGGTGCTTTCATCATCCAAACCATCACATCCATTTCACATTTTAATGAATTTAAAGTAACATTTGTGACTTGTATATTTTGAATAAATTTCCCCTTCCTCTTTTCTTTCACCAGAACTGCTTTAAGTATTACATGAGTGACGATATTAGCCGTGACTCAGATGGAATGGATGAACAATGTAGGTAGGTAATAAATTCTTCATTCAACATTCATTGTTTTCTACTTTGGGGTGAATATCAACTTTGTTAGATTCATCTCCCGTCCCCACCCCCAAAGACAGTATTTCTCTGTGTTACAGTCCTGGATGTTTTGGGACTTTGTATACCAGGCTGGCCTTGAACTCACAGAGATCAGCCTACCTCTGCCTCTCCACTGTTGTCATTAAAGGCATGCATTACCACTCCAAACTTGCTAGACACATCTTTTAAAATTTAAAATTTGATATCTCACACTGGGCAGTGGTGATGCACGCCTTTTATCCCAGCACTAGGGAGGCAGAGGTAGGTGGATCTCTATGAGTTCAAGGCCATCCTGGTCTACAGAGTGAGTTCCAGGATAGCCAGGGCTTTGACAGAGAAACCCTACTTTGAAACACACAAAAATTTTTTTCACTCATGTTTGTGTATGTGATTATGTGCAAGTGTGTGCAGGGATCCTTGGAAACCTGATGTGTTGAATCTCTCTAGAGCTGGAGTTCCAGGTAGTTGTGAGCTTTATGACATAGGTGCTGGGAACCAAACTTTTTTCTTCTGCAAGAACACCGAGTCCTCTCTCCTCCCTTCCTCCCTCTCCTCTCTCCCTTCCCCTCCCCCCTTTTTTCCAGACAGGGTTTCTCTGTGTAACACTTCTGGTTTTCCTGGAACTCACTCTGTAGACCAGGTTGGCCTTCCTCCTAAGTGTAGGATAAAAGGCATGTGCCTCTACTGCCTGTCTTTCTCTTAATTCCTGAGCCATCTGTTCAGCCCTAGATCCCTCTTTTTCTAGTATTTTCACTGCTATGTTTAGTTGTTGGTTGTCTTTTCTAATAAAACCTTGTTTGTTTAGTTTTATATTTCTGATAAAAGTAATAAGGTGATCTAAAGTACCCCTGAAAATGCTGATGGAAAATTTAAATTCTTTTATCAATAAAGACATTAAAAAGTTCTCACTAGGAATAACATTTTAATCTTTAAATCATTTCAGATGGTGTGCAGAAGGTGGGAACTTGATTTGCTGCGACTTTTGCCATAATGCCTTCTGTAAGAAATGCATCCTACGCAACCTTGGTCGAAAGGAATTGTCTACAATACTGGATGAAAACAATCAATGGTATTGCTACATTTGTCAGCCAGAGCCTCTGTTGGACTTGGTCACTGCATGTAATAGTGTATTTGAGAATTTAGAACAGTTGTTGCAACAAAATAAGAAGAAGATAAAAGTTGACAGTGAAAAGAGTAGTAAAGTATGTGACCAAACACCCAAATTTTCTCCAAAGAAGAATAGTTCCAGTTGTAATGGAGAAGAGAAGAAATTAGATGATTCACATTCTGGCTCTGTAACTTGTACTTACTCAGCACTAACTGTGCCCAAAGAGATGCTTAAGAAGACAAAAAAACTGATTGAGACTACGTCCAACATGAACTCCAGTTACATTAAGTTTCTCAAGCAGGCAGCAGACAATTCAGAAATGAGTTCTGCTGTGAAGTTACGTCAGCTTAAAGCTTTTAAATCTGTGTTGATTGATATCAAGAAGGCTCATATTGCATTAGAAGAAGATTTAAATTCTGAGATCCGAGCTTTGGTTGCTGTACACAAAGAGAAAAATACCAAAGAGCTTAAAATCACTGATGCAAAGTCTGAAACAAAAGTGCGAAAGGGGGAAAAATCCTATACTCCAGAAAAGAAAGATTCTTTAAAGTCAGATGCTAGGTCATCAAAGATGACAGGCGACGAGCACATCCCAGGGGAAGAGCACAAAGGAAATAAAAGTACTAGTGGTGAACACAAGGGTTCGGGTAGGAAAGATGGACCTCAGTATGAACCTAATACTTCTGAAGATTTAGACATGGATATTGTGTCTGTTCCTTCCTCAGTTCCTGAAGACATTTTCGATAGCCTTGAGTCTGCTATGGAAGTTCAGTGTTCATCTGATTGTCAAGGAGATGGCAACAGTGGGACCGAACCAGAAATGGAGATACCATGTCTAAAACTTATCACCTCTTCGAAAGACAGAAGAGGAAGTGCTAAGTCAAAAATGGCAGCGAAAGTAAGAAAAGAATTATATGTTAAACTCACCCCAGTTTCCCTTTCTAATTCCCCAGTTAAAGGTGCTGACTGTCAGGGAGTTTCACAAGAGAAGGATGGCCATAAAAGTTCCAGGGTGACCCCCAACTCAGACAAATGTGGACTGGAAGAGGAAAATAGTGATAATGAACATTCAGTTGAAAATGATGTTGCATTATTTTTAGAAGAATCTGATCTTCGAAGATCCCCACGTGTAAAAACTACACCGTTGAGGAGACAAACAGAAATTAACCCTGCAATATCCAATTCAGATGAAGAAAGTAATGAAACTATTAAAGAGAAACGAAAGCTGTCAGTTCCATTAAGAAAAAAGGATAAGCGAAATTCTTCTGACTTTGCTGTTGGTCACCCTAAGTCTCATAAGGTACGCAAAACTAAGCAACCAGAGATTGCAGATCAGAATTCAGATTCTGATGAAATGCTTGCAGTCCTTAAAGAGGCAAGCCAGATGAGTCACAGCTCTTCTTCAGACACTGACATTAATGAAATACTGATGAATCACAAAGTTGAAACAGGCAAAGATGATAATGGAAAAAGGAAACGGAAAAATTCTACTTCTGGGTCAGATTTTGACATTAAAAAAGGAAAGTCAGTTGAAACGTCTATTATCTTGAAAAAGAAGCGTCAAAACTACTCGGAGTCCTCTAACTATGACTCAGAGTTGGAGAGAGAGATAAAAGTTATGAGCAGAATTGGAGCTGCCAGAATAACTAAAAAAGGTGTTTCAGATAAGAAAGAACGTGACTTTTCTGAAGATGAAAAACAGAGCAAAAAAGTAGTGGATGATGAAGGGCAGGAAAGTGTGAAGACTGTACAAGGAGGATTGTCTGGTGACGATACTGGAGACACTGAAAAACAGGGAGAGAATTTGTCTGCATCGGAAGGTTCAGTTGAGAAAGGGAAGAGTGCAGTGGATTCAAGGGAGATGCATTGCACCAGACAGCAGCCAAGTATTTCATCTGATGGCCTGGAAAAGCCTTCAGGGGGAGAGGAGGATGTAAATTCTGATGGCAAGAGAGTTTCTAAAACTAAAGAGAAGAGTAAACATCTGAGAACCAGAGCATGTAGAAAAGCACAGCGTGGGTCATCTGATGCTACTGATAGATTTCCAAAGAAAGAGCAGAGTGATGAATCTTCTGAAGGTGAGAAAAAGCAAAACAGACAGGGAGCTGGAGCAAAAGCAAAGAAAACTATAGACTTAAAGGAAGAAGCAATTAAGACAGAGCAACAGTATGAGTCTTCCTCTGATAGTACTGAGAAATTGCCCGAGGGAGAAGAAAGTGGTCATTTTTCTAAAGATATAAAACAAAATAAGAATGAAACAACTGATGAAGAAAAGAAAGGCAAAAAAGTGAAAGATAAATTATCTAAAAAGAAGGAAGATGTATCTGATGGTGTTGATAAGTTGACAAGCAAAAGAGACAGTTGTGACTCTTCAGAAGATAAAAAGAACAAGAATAGAGTGTCTCAAAGAGAGAAGAAGAAATCCAGCTTACCTGCAAAGAGTTCAGGCAAGAGGCCAGAGTGTTCATCATCAGATACTGAGAAATATTCCTTGAAAAGAGAGTGCTGTGACTCTACTAGTAGACCGAAAAGAACTGAATTAAGAGAAAGAAGAAATTTAAGTTTAAAGAGAAATACCAAGGAAATACAGAGTCGCTCATCTTCTTCTGATGTTGAGGGAAGTTCAGAAGATAATAAGAAACGGAAGAAACAAAGAACTTCAGCCAAAAAGAAGACAGGCAATGCCAAGGAGAAAAGAGGAAACTCCTTAAGAACAAGTACTAAAAGAAAGCAAGCAGCCATTACCTCTTCGTCTTCTGATATAGGAGATGATGACCAGAATTCTGCAGGTGAGGAGAGCAGCGATGAACAGAAAATAAAACCTGTGACTGAGAATTTAGTGCTGCCTTCACATACTGGATTTTGTCAGTCTTCAGGTATGCAAGAATAAATTTCAACTTTAGAAATTGTAATCTGCCCCCCTCTATGATAACCATATTATTTAATTTTCCCTAAGGTGAAATTCAGAGTTACTGTTGAGGAAAAGTTCATTTAAAATTTGTTTAGACATTTACTCTAGATATTTCTCTACTTTTTCCTATGCCATCATTGGAGGGCATTTCAAGCATTGTCAGTGTTCTTTGTCAAGCCCACCAAGTTTGTTTGGTAAACAAAAAATTACTTTGTCAGTGTTTAGTGTGTTTCTTTGGAGTAATATGTAGTAGCTTCTGAAAGAAAATCAAGTCATGCTGTTACCAAACCTGGGGTTTCAGTCTCTATTCCAAGAAGTCAAGTTGTTTCCCAGAGGCAACTGAAACAGCAAAATTTATAGTAAAAAGTCAAAATGTCTCTATTCACTGTGGTCACATTGGGAAGAGAGTTAGAGATCCAGTGCCACCCCCCATCAGCCGTGCATGTTTCAAGTGTTTTGAAATGAGATTAAAGTTTGTAGAGGGCCGGGGATGCATGCATATCTAAGCAGTCTTGGTCAGGTTGTAGTCCCACCCACCGTTGACTCATCCTTCAATTAGGTTTCCTGCAGTCTTATCCTACAAGGCAGGGTTTTTTGTTTTGTTTTGTTTTTAAAATATGGAATGCTTCATGAGTCTGTGTGTGTGTGTGTGTGTGTGTGAGAGAGAGAGAGAGAGAGAGAGAGAGAGAGAGAGAGAGAGAGAGAGAGAGAGAGAGAGAGAGAGAGAGAGATCTTGAGCAGGGCCAATGCTGTTTTCTCTGTATTGTTCCAATTTTAGTATGTGTGCTGCTGAAGTGCTCACTTACAAGGTATTTTAATGAGTTGCTAGCCCTGTAGAACCTCTTTTCCTACTCTTTTCTTAAAGACGGTTCTCCCTTTGGCTAGCTCCTGGATCCTAGCTTTTTTCTTCACCTAGCATGAAACATCTAAGGAAATTGGAGATTCCCATTTCTTGGGATCTAGTTTTCAATAGTCAGCTTGAGGCGTATGAGTGTCTCTGTCTTCATTCTGCCAAGCTGGTTATAATGTCAGTAGTTTAGTAGGTATTTATTTGTACAGTAGTGGTGAGTTCTTGGTACTGGTATAACATTGAATGTAAAAGTTTCAACTGCTTTCTATGGGATTTTGTTTTTTTTTAAAGCAAAACAGATAACCTTGAAATATTTTTGTTTTAAAGATGGGCTCATATATGCACAGCTGGCCTTGAACTCAGTCTAACTAATTTAGCTGAGACTGATCACTTTCCAATTGTTCCTAATCACCACACCTGGCTCTCTGAAATAATTTGTTTTGCTATTAGATGGTGATCATTTCCAGGCCCTTGTGTACACTAAATAAATGCTTTAACACTGAAGATCTAAACAATAGAAATTTACTTTATTATAATCCCTTTTCTCATCCACTACTATCTAATGATATAAAAGATATTTGTCTTTTTAAAAAAAATCAAAGGAAGAAAGAGAAATCCCCAAATTACCCCATTGGGTCAACTTGTCCTTATTACCAAGAAAAAGAGTTTTTAATATTATTTTTTATTATAGCTTTAAGAAAATAACTTGACTAGTATATGTATATTGGTTAATTGTATTGTTCATTTGCTAATTAAGACACTGTCAAAGATATTTAGAATTATTAAATATATACATAGAATTAATGTTTCTAATATAGTCAATCAGAAGAATTTCCTCTTTATTCCTTATGAGTTTCTTACTTATTCCAACTTATTAAATAAAACCAATTTCAATCTTATTTTTGAAAAAACTTTAATTCATGGGAAACTTAAAGCTCTTGAAGAGGTTTGATGTCATGCCATATGATCACATTTCTACAATGTAATATTTGAGTACCCACACTCAGAGGAATTAACATTTCAGATCAGTTTTTCCTTTCAAATGAGTTTCTTTCATCTTCAGAGTTGTTGATAAAGAATTGTGGACTTGTATTAAAAATGGATCTAGGGGCTGGAAAGATGGTTCATTAGTTAAAAGTACCTATTGCTTTTCTAGAGAACTAGAGTTCAATTCTAGGGCCCTACATTGTGAGGATCTCAACTACCTGTAAATCCACTTCAGGAGATTTGAGTTCTCTGGCCTTCATGGCCATACATCCAAGCATGCATATACTCATACCACAGAAATATACGCAGAAATTTCAAAACCACAAGATATAACAGTTACTTGATAGAAAATGTTTTAGTTATCAGTTAGTTGGGAAAAACCCTATTAAAGTAATACTTTTCATTAGACCTTAGAAGTTGGCAACATGTAGCAAACACCCAATGAATGCATTTCCTAGTAATCTTGTAATTTAGTACTAACCTAGATAATTATGTTCCATTTCGGCTAGTAGAACCTTGATGTGAAGAACTATGGGCTTAATAGAGCCAAAAAAGCTTGAGCATCTGCCTCTTAATCAGATGCTAGTCCTTCAACAGTTTGATGAAACAAAAGTCCTTGGTTGTGAATTTCTTAAGACCAAGTGGAATACTTAGGATAAAAAAGTAGAAGATAATTCGCTAGGGAATTTATCCCACCAAAAACTGGGCTTTGTCAGTAGAAATATGCAAATGGAATAGAATATAAAAGGTCTCGAAGATAAGCATTATGCACAAAATACGTTTTTTTTTTTCAAGATAAAGGTATGAGACAATGATAAACATTGCTCAAGAATTTACTTGCAGCAGAGTGAAGATAGTGTGCACCTTTGATACCACCACTTGGGAGGCTGAGGCAGGGGGATCTCTTCTGAGTTTGAGGCCAGCTTGGTTTACTTAGTGAGTTCCAGGACAGCCAGGGCTACACAGAGAAATCTTGTCTCGAAATACAAAATAAAACAGAACAAAAAAGATTGATAACTTGACTCTTAAAAAAGAAACAAAAATAAAATTGAGAAAGCTATAATGGGGGCTGTAATGGTAAATGAGCTAAAGAATTTTAGGGAAAAATTTAGAAGAATTTATAGTATTTGAACTTTGGAGTTTAGGTCAATATTTTGACACTTAAGGGGATTATATCAACTGGCATGGTGATAATGGCTTATAATCCCAGCACTGCTATGCCCAAGTCGTGACGATCCCCAAAGACCACCAGGGAGACAGACCCACCAAACTGTGTACCAATTATTGTCATTGGTCAGTTCTGAGAGGGAGCATTCTGTGGTTTCTATGACTTTGTTTTGTTGCTTGCAGGTGGCCTGTTCATAGATACCAATAGTTTTCAGAACTGTTTCCTGGAGACTACAGGGGAGTTTTTGGTCTCCCCTGGAGTTTCTTTTGTGGCTGAAGAGTTCCCATGAACCAAGTATCTAGGAGACTGGGGGTGGGGTCTGGAGTTTCTTTGTGTTTAGTTTTGGCTCGAGGCTCCTGGAGGCTAGTGAATCTCGAATTTCTTTGTGTCATATGCTGAGTCAGAGGCCTACATGTCCTTTTTGTAGCCTGTCATGGCTGTTGAAGCAGGGGACTGAGTGAGGGTCTGGTCCTTTCAAGCACACCAGAGACAGAGGTAGGAGAATTGAAGTTGCTTTGGGCAACATTGCAAATTATTGATCAAGTAGGGCTGAATAGTGAGACCCTTTGTCTAAAAAAGAGGAAATGAAGGTAATAATATAGCTAGTGATATGTTGTTTCAGTCCTGTTTTGTTCAAGTGGGATGGTTTACTGGGATACCCTGTGAGTTATTTTTGCCTTTCTGCATTTAGCATGTTTCTATCCTGAATCTGTAGGTGTCTGTTCACCCCTTATTCACTGCTAGGTTTCAGTTCCTTGCACACACTAAGCAAGTACTATATCTCTGAGTTACATTCCTCAGCCCGAAGTCTGTGTTCTGGATATTTTCCTCCATTTCCCCTACCATTATGTTATGGAGAAAAATTGCAAAGAAAAAAGGAAAAGGGGTCTCAGATACCCCCTTTGCTGGATTTCTTCATTGTCAAACTATTTATGTGTATGTTTGTGTCTCTGTGCAATTGTGTGAGTGTGCCCACAGAGATGTGGTATCGAATCCCCTGGAGATGGAGTTAGCAGGCAGTTGTGAACTATCTCACAAGAGTGCTAGGAAGTGAACTACCCATCTTGCTGAAGAGCAGCAAGTGCTCTTAATTACTAAGCCATTTCTTGAGCCCCTTCAGTGTTTTTATTTTCTTTTTTGAGACAAGTCTCACTATGTGACCCTAGCTGGCCTAGAACTTACTGTGTAGACCTGGTTTTGAACTCATAGAGATCCTCCTGTGTGTGCTTCCCAAGTGCTGGGATTAAAGGTGTGCACTAACATGCCTAGCTTTTTGATAGCCCAAGATGACCTTAAATTATAATCCTCTACTTCTGCCTGTCTAGTGCTAAGATTACTGGTGTGAGCCACCCTTACCTGGTTTGAATTCTCTTTGTAGCATGATAAATAAAAGACCCAGAGACTGATATTGGTGTTCAAGCTTCAAGCTGAAGATCAGAGAAGCAAGGCAGCGTTTTTCAATTACTTGGCACTATCAATATAGAAGCAGTTTTGTTATTCTTCACTGATACCAGATGAAGCAGACACCTGTTAGCTTTAAACTTTCAGTAGATTGATACAGTTACTGCAACAAGAAGCCACTGGAAATGATGGCAACTAATCATTTTTAATGTGCTTTGAGAGTGAACTTCATACCTATAAGACCCTTCATAAAGTTCCTCTTTTGCTTTCTATCTACACTCCTTGTATTTATTTAGAATTCATCAGTTTTCTATAGAACCGACTAGTTTGCTCTAGCATTGTTAGATTTGTTTTATTTTATACAGTTTTGCTTGTGTAGATAATTCAAAGCTAATTGTAAGTACACTTTTTCCCCCAAGGAGATGAAGCCTTATCTAAATCAGTGCCTGTCACAGTGGATGATGACGACGACGACAATGATCCTGAGAATAGGTATGATTCCATCTGTAAGGACTTAAAGATTATAACACACCCTAAGCGTGGGCGCAAACAGCAACAACGCAACAGCAAGCAGGTTGTAAAAACCAGGAGTTCCTGCCTTAGAAAGACTCATGCACAGTCTTCTTGCAAGTTTGAAAGAAAGGCCAGAAAATGGGCTAAAGCTCAAAAACCTTAAAAGAAAGTAAATATCAGTATGAACACACCTAGCATAGGGTGTGTTATAAATAAATAAAGAACTGTCAATTTTATGTTTCTGTGTAAACTGTGATACCTTTTTGAGGCTTTCAATTTTAACGTATTAATTTTTGATGCAAATGATTCACAATAAATGGCAAGAACAGACATCTATATTTGTTTATTGTTTGTCATTCAACATGGTGGTCCCATTTGTGAAGACCTGTGAGAAATGAAAAAAGATTTATATATTTAAGATTAGAAAATTGCTTCCAAACTAAGTATCAGTTGATGAGGTATCTAGGTTGATTTATATTTGAACTTTTCCCCCAAATAAATTAGAAGTAGATAGTATGACATTATTAACTTCACTAAGACTTAAGCAATTGGCTTAAATGTAAGCATTGAAGCCTATACAGTTACCTATACTTATTTAAGGGATGCCTGAAAGAAGGAAGAAAAGACAATTGTCACAGCAGTGAGTAAAGAAAACACATGTTAACCGTATTAACCATAGTCAATGTGGCTATGTATACATTTTAAACATTTCCTAACCTTTAGTATAATAGTCATAATCTACAATGAGAAGATAGCATGGATGTATAGTGAATGACCGACATCTAACCTTTTAATAATTGTATGATACTGAACTGGTAACTTTAACTTCTTTTGCCATAATTTTTTATTACTAATAGTGAAAAATGGATAGTGTTTATTTAATTCTAATACCAAAAATATGTGATAGTCTGGAGATGATTATATTGAAGAGCAATAAAATGACCATCTATTCCCAATAGAAAGCTCTAGTATTAGGAAAATAGAAATATGGGCTGCAGAGATGGTCCAAAGGTTAAGAGCATTGGCTGCTCTTCCAGAGGTCCTGAGTTCAATTTCTAGCAACCACATGGTGGATTATAATCATCCATAATGAAATCTGCTGCCCTCTTCTGGCGTGCAGGCAGAACACTGTATACATAATAAATAAAAAAAAGAATGAAAATAATACATACTTGCTGTCATTAGTTTATGAGAGATGAACCAAGTGCTCTGAGGACATCTGTTACTTTAGCCCTATTTTATGTCTTGTTGATGCTGACAGGTTTGTTTCAGCCATTGGCATCATTAGTAGACAGGATAATTTAATTAGGGTGAAAGATCATACTTTTACACTTAAGTAGAGCTCTGTTGTAAATCCAATGACAGCCTCTGCTTTCCTTTTTACTTTTCGTCTTACAAATGTCTGTCCAGTTATTTGATGGGATAATATGAATGAGACCCACAATGGAGTGACAAAGGCATACAATGTTTTTGTCAGGGATTTTATAATATACCATTATTGATATATTGCAAAAGCAACTAGAACTTGATTGTTTAGAATGCTTTCATTTTTCACATATATGCTGCTGTTTTCATATAAATCCACAAGTCCTCAGGTGTTATTAGTAGTTATTAGTGCTTCTTTTTTTTAACTATGGGAGATAAGCTTTTATATTTAGCCACCAACTAAGAATGCTATTAAAGTATAATTTTTGTTATAGCTTATCAAAAATTAACATTTTTATTTCTGAAATTCTCTGATTTTACCTCTGTAAACTGACAGCTATTTTATTGGAAAGTATCTTTAACTTCATTTTGTATTTGTGATTAAAAAAATACAACTCTGCTGGGGATACTTTGGACAGGAATTGGATTTTATTTTGAACATGTCTTTATACTCACTTTAATGTGCCTTTATAAAATATGCAATTTATAGCTTGTTTAATATCCACTATACCAAAGAAGCATCTTAATATACATGGGCTATCTACTCCTGATATCCCTGATGGGGATAAAAGTACCTCTTTGCAGTATTTTAGTACAGACTAAGTATTTGAACATATTTGAATATGCACTAAACAACCTTTAAAAATTTGTCTGCAGGTCATTAAATCTTGGAATTGTTTTCAATTTCATATTTTTGAGCAAGATGTATCTTGATAGAGAGCATATTGTAATTGTAAATTTGTACACAATTGTATAATTGTATGTAAATTGTGTATAAATTTTATATGCTTTGCTTTTTTTGGCAGTATTGTAATTCATGTCCAGTGTTGTTTATAAAGAGGTAAATAGTGTATTGTTTCAAATGCTTAATTCTGGATGCAATAAATTTATGTAAAACTTTTTCTTGTTCAAACATTTAATTTTAATTATGATGTATCTTTCATAAGAGTTTATAAGGCTGTGTTAGAATAAAGTTATATAGACTAGTTTGCAAGCCAAAGAAGTTTTTTCATTTCTGAAATTAAGGAAGTCAGTACTTTTTCTAAAACACATATGCTTATATTTTGGTGACGGCTTAATAAACAATTGACTTTATTTACTTTTTCTGTTTTAAAGCTGTGATAGTAAGAAAATAAAGAATAAAGCTTTTAAGACCACTAAAAATCTTCAATATTTTACTGGAAATAAATATCTTCCTGCAAGTTTAACATTTGAATGTAAATGTATACCAGAGTTAGAATTGTCCTAATTGTAAATGTCTATTTACTTGACTAGATATTGTTTGACCAAAGCAGATAGTTATCGTTTTTCTGATTGGTCTTTTTTTTCCTATTATACAAAATTAGTGATCGTAAAATTTGAAATTTATGCAACTGAGAATTCATCTCAGCTACACTACTTTAGGCTTTACGTACTTTAAACAAATAGAATAATAATAAAAATGCCAAGTACCTTGTTGGTGTTTTTTTTGAGACAGGGTGTCACTATATGCCCCAGGCTGGAACTCACAGAGATCTGCCTGCCTCTGCTATCTAAGTGCTGCAATTAAAGCTGTGTGCCTTCCACTGTGGTCCACTGCTTGGCAGATGTCAGAGTTTTTAAATTATAGTTAATGTCAGTTATGTGATCGTGCCATTATGGTAAGGTTTGATTTGCCTTTTAAATACTTAGGTTTTTGTTATTTTGTTTTTTGAGACAGGTTTCTCTCTGTAACAGCTCTGGCTATCCTGGAACTTGCTTTGTAGATCAGACTGGCCTGGAATTCACAAAGATCTGCCTGCCTTTGCCTCGAAAGTGCTGGGATTAAAGGCGTGTGCCATCACCACCTGGGTTTAGTTTAGTTTTCAGTTGGTTCTTGCCTTGAAAAGACATGCCATGTAATTGATAAAATTGTTTGCTTTACAATTTTTAGAAAAATGCTTTGGGAGCAAAAGTGTTTCAGATTTTGGAGTTTCTAAGATGTTATACTTACGAAGACTTTGCCATTTAAATGTCGGAGATCTACAACTCCAAAGGATTTCAGAGCACATCAAACTTTTGGGATTAAGAATGTTGGGTGTATGCATATATTGTGATATCTTTATGTTTTCAGTGACTAAGGATCAAACATTTTCTCATTGTATGTATTTTAAAACTTAATGCTGTCAATGGACCTCAGTAATAGAATACTAGTGTGTGTTCATCATATTAGTGTATACAAACAAGCACATAACATTATTGTTGAAGATTTATATGGTTTTAGTAGTATTGTACTTTTTCCTCAGAATTTCTCTGGATGGTACTAAATTTTTTCATAAATGCAAATTCTGGTATGGAGATTGTTGATTGAAGTTATTGATGCACTTGGAAAGTGGGAGTCTTGTATCATTTGACAGTAGGTTTTTGCTTTTCAAACTAGGAAATATGCCCTATTGGCATGATGTGGGTATTCTATTAATGAAAGCTTTATACTGTTAATACAGCTTACTTCCTTGGGAAGAGACTAATGACTCCTGAATATTGATTGACATACAATGAAGATATTTGATGGATATATATTTGATTTCAGTAGAATTAGTGTAACAAGTCCCTTAATACAGCTTTCATTTGAAATACATTTCCAGATGACCCTCTCATATATAATATAATGTGTGTATATATATATATATATTTTACAAATTTAATAACTCTAGAATTTTTTCCTATGGCTTTTTTATTTAATGGATCTCATTTGGTTAGTAAAATTATTTTGAATTTTTATTTTGCTTAAAAAAGACAACATTTGAGGTAAAGAAATTTCTTTTTCTTTTTGAGTTAAATGTTTTAAGTAGTTAGCAGTTTTAAGATAATTCCTTTCAGTTACTTTGTTGATACAGTCCTGGTAAGTATAGTCAATGAAGTCAGTGTCTATAGATAGGATCCACTGGCTGATGAGTGAAACTGTTTTCAAGGGTCACCAATTTTATTTTATTTTTTTACTAGATGGCTCATCAAAGAAAGAAATATGGTTAGTATTGGTGACTTTTCTCCTTCTGTGGGTAGGGCTTAGACATTATACTTCATATCCTTTCTTGTTTTCTGTTCTATGGTGATCTTGGGACTTTGAGCAAATGAGAAATGGTTTCCTAGAGAAAAAAAGTTTGTAATTTAGTGTTAGCAAATATAATTCATTTTTCTGACCCTGATATCCTTTGTTTTTAATTTTTATTTTAAATTTATGACTTTAATTTAATTCTTTTTCATCTTAAGAATATTGAGTAATAAAGAATGAATTATTTAATATAACTAAATGTCCTATAATGACATTAATATATATTTTTCTTAATAAAATTCCTCTAAAATTTAGATGTTTTTTGTTTTATTTTGAGACATGGTTTCTCTTGTAGTCCTGGCTATCCTGGAACTCCCTCTATAGACTAAGCCAATCTCAAATTCACAGAGATCTACCTGCCTCTGCTTCCCAAGTGCATTCCATGCCAAGCTAAAAGACTCATTTTCCAGTTTAGTGTGGTTTAAGCAGAATAGCCCATGTTTTTACAGATCAATGTTCCTCTGCTGCTGGAGTGCTGGTATAACAGGTATATATACACCAGCCCCTTGAACTCTGAGTTCTTAATTTCACACAGCTTTTATTTTGCTAGTCCTGATTCTTTTTAGAAAATATTGAATAATTTTCCTTATACTCCTAGCAAAAAGAAACCAGTCTGCTTGTTTCTGATTACAGACTTTATAGGACATGTGATTGAAGAAGTGATCAGATGGAGGCATGGTTTAGCTTTTGATTCTTTACTGAATTCCTATGAATTCTGTCATTTTTGGGTATAGATCATCATGCCTTAGTTACCTTTTTGATAGAAAAGTTTACATCAAGGAATTTTGAATTTGTGTTAAAATAATATATTAGTATAAAATCTGAAAATTTCTATAATTAACTATGAAATTTTTTATTTAAAAAATTTTAATCTTTGAAGTAAATGACTGATTAAAATAATGCCTTGTACTCTGCTGGAAGGATATATGTTCACCATTCTTTTCTCAGTAAAAATAGTAAACATTCCTTAGCTTCCACTCTCGGATTGTTTTTCAAATAAAGTTGGGAAATATAATGTGGGGTTTTATGTTACATATGCTTAGAAACTATGCACTAAGCCAATGATCTTACTTTGTTAATTGTATATTCTATTGTTATACTTTTTGCAGAATGTAGACAAACAATTCTTAATAAACTTTGTTAATTTTATAGGGGTGAATAATACATTGCCCTTTACAATGTAATTTTAATTTTAGTTTCCTAAACCTGTTTTTAGAGCTTTTTAAATAGTAAAATAGTAGTTTTAGGATGTGTTACCCGATGTCTTTCTCTGTATTTTAAATAAAAACATATTGGCATTATGTTTTTTAAAAGTCAAAACTTTGATTCTTTAATTTGCAAAGTCATAAAAATTGAATGCCTGTGAAATGGATGTATATGTGTACGAATTCATACACATTTGTCTTTTAGAATAACTTTAATGTGTTTGTCCAGGCGCTCATTAGCATAGAAGTAGTTAATATGTAGAGAGTATACCCAAGGCACCCTAATATTGATTGGGATGTAGTATCTTAGGTTTTCCTTTTGGTTTGTCACACTAGCTAGCTTTGTTTATTTGGTTATGTCATTTGTTGTTTATTACTGGAATGTAAGTAAGTTCCTGACTTCTGGTTCTAATATTTTATGTTACTTTTATTTTAACCGCTTTTTCTAAAGTGCTCTGGTATAGGAGATCTGTTCCCAAAGTTCCTTATAAAGAAATTCACTACTTTGAGTTACTGATTTACATACCAGCAAAAGGCAGCTTTCTTTGCTTTCCTGTAAAGCAAAACCTTTTATATGTAGATTTTTCTTGGAATTCCATTGTCTGGATAAGTGAATTTTACTGTTGTTAGCCTATTTCAAATGGTAGTTACTGGAGGATGGCAGCATCAACTTTTAATTCGTCAAAATAATTAATAGACAGTATCTCTGAGATTTTTCAATTGTGTGGGATTAAGGAATGATCATTACAGTGAACATTTTCAAGAGTGTTCATTGGTAGCTTATGTTAAAACATGTTTTTTGCCATTCTCATACTTACAGAATAAAGTCTATTCAATAGTATTTATTCTTATTTTGATGTAGAGAGTTTGTTTTTATTTCGGTCTACTGCATCCCCTAAAAAATACAGCTTTTTTTATTTTTTTACTCTAAAGAATTGCCAAGAAGATGCTTCTAGAAGAAATTAAAGCCAATCTTTCCTCTGATGAGGATGGATCTTCAGAGGTTGAACCTGAAGGAGAGAAAAAGAGAACTGGAAAACCAAGTGAAGAACCTCCCGGAGATGAGGGTGAGCTCCCCCAAGAGTAGTTATGTGGTGTATTTATAGTTTAATCCCCTAGTCATTCAGTCGGTGAAGGTTATCTGACCAAGAAATCTCAGTAAATGCATTTGAGGTTTTAAAAAATGTTTAAAACTTTATTATCATGATCATTTGCATACATTATGATAATTTGTGGAAGTTATTCTAATTGTTTCACTTACTGTCAATACACATGTAAGCAAAATATTTTGTACTTTAAAGTGATGCACATCGGTGATGGTTAGTCCATATTCAATAACCAAGGCCGATGAGATTACTTGTTATCACCAATGATGCTAAGGTACACATTTCATTGATATTAAGAAGCTTTTCCATAAATTTTGGTAATTTTGAATATACAGACTAGTTTTAAAAACATTTAAAAGAAAGTCTGTCAAAGAGGGCTTTATTAATGCATTCTCTTTATTTAGAAGCCCCAAATCAAGTCAATTCTGAATCAGATTCAGATTCTGAAGAATCTAAGAAGCCAAGATACAGACACAGACTTTTGAGGTACAAACTGACTGTGAGTGATGGAGAATCTGGAGAAGAAAAAAAGACAAATCCTAAAGAACATAAAGAAACCAAAGGAAGAATTAGAAGAAAGAGTAAGACATTTTAACTTTGAATATAAAGGAAATATGTGTTTTGTGAATGAGTTATAGTATTGAAATTTCAGTATATCTTTTCAGATAACTAAACACTGCTCCTGAGATTATCCTTACATATCTGATCTCATATTTGGCCCTACTGCATTACTAGATAGACATAGTTATATAATTATATCTAGCAGAAATTTCACATTTAGAAGTACTGATTTATTATACCTTATTTGCTATGCTTAGTACCAGAAATGCTTTGGTTTAGTGGTTTCCCCCCCACTTTTTGAAACACTGCTGTGTAAGTAATGAGATACTTTTTTGGGGGGGAGGGGATCCTTATCAAAATACAGACTTCATTTATGTGTCTGTCATCAATATTTCATGTACATATGAAGTATTCCTAGTGTACCTCAATTTTGACAGCCATTAAGCACATAAGTTTAGATATTTTTCACTCATGGAATATGTTGATATTCCTAGGATTCACATGTTGGAGCATTTCACATCTTCTAAATAATTCAGCCTGGAACATTTGGATCTTTAAATGGTCTTTTTTGTTTTGTTTTTTGAGGCAGCGTTTCTCTGTGTAGCACTGACTGTCCTGCAACTTACTCTGTAGACCATTCTAGACTTGAACTCACAAAAATCCATATGCCTCTGCCTCTCCTAGTTCTGGGATTAAAGGTGTGCTTGAGTGCTAAGTCTTAATATGTTTTCATCTACTCTCTCTCTCTCTCTCTCTCTCTCTCTCTCTCTCTCTCTCTCTCTCTCTCTCTCTCTCTCTCTCTCTGTGTCTCTCTGTGTCTCTCTGTGTCTCTCTGTGTCTCTGTCTCTCTCTGTCTCTCTCTGTCTCTCTCTGTCTCTCTCTCTCTGTCTCTCTCTGTCTCTCTCTGTCTCTCTCTGTCTCTCTCTGTCTCTCTCTGTCTCTCTCTCTCTCTCTCTCTCTCTCTCTCTCTCTCTCTCTCTCTCTCTCTCTCTCTCTCTCTCTCTCTCTCTCTCTCTGTGTGTGTGTCTGTCTCTGTCTCTCTCCCGATGTTCTTCATATAATTCTCTAGTGTGTTGTTTGTTTGTTTGTTTGCTTTGTTTTGTTTTGTTTTCCTGAGACAGGGTTTCTCTGTGTAGCTTTGGAGGCTGTCCTTGAACTCACTCTGTAGATCAGGCTGGTCTCAACTCACAGAGACCCACCTTTCTCTGCCTCTCGAGTGCTGGCGTCAAAGTTGTGCACCACCACCACCCAGCTCTCTCGCGTTTTAATGTGAAGTTGCTAAGTTGATTTTTGTTTCTTTTGAAAAATATTTAGCACTTTATTTTTTTCCTAAATTCAAGTGAGCAGTGAGGATTCAGAAGATACTGATTTTCAAGAGTCAGGAGTTAGTGAAGAAGTGAGTGAATCTGAGGATGAGCAGCGGCCTAGGACAAGGTCAGTATTACACAGGTTATTTTGTTTGTGTGTTTTGCTTTATTTTTCAAAGAATGTTAATCATTGTGCCAATGAGATGTCCAAGTAAGTAAAACTGCCCACTGATGAGACTGATGGCCTGAGCTTGTTTGTAGGACATGCATGGTGGAAGGAGAGAACCAGTTCTTGTAAGCTGTTCTTGTTTCTCTGCATATATGCTGTCTCCTCCACTCTGCAAAAATAAATAAATTTGGGGCTGGCGAGATGGCTCAGAGGTTAAGAGCACTGGCTCCTCTTCCAGAGGTCCTGAGTTCAATTCCCAGCAACCACATAGTGACTTACATCCATCAGGAATGAGATCTGGTGCCCTCTTCTGGCTTGCAGGGATACATGCAGACAGAACAGTGCATACAAAATAAATAAATTAATCTTAAAAAAATAAATATGCTCAGGATTTCTTGTTCCTTTTCCCTTCTTTGGGGGACTGTGTATTTCTCTTTTAGGGTCCTCCTTGTTTCCTAGTTTCTATGGTGGTGTGGATTGTAGGCTGGTATTCCTTTGCTTTATGTGTGAAATGAAGTTCATTATTTTATATACTAAAAGTAAATATTTTGTTGTTTGGGTGATAACTACTCACACAATGAATTGGATGCTCTGTTCAGGCTGGGTAGGAAACCCCATACTGATCCAATAGTCTGGAGAGAAGAAACTTTATTTCTCACAGTTGGGAAAGAGAACGCCCAGATAGCCAAGTGGGATCTTCTCCCTTCTTCTTTAGCCTTTGCTATGTCCTTTTATGACCCTTTCTTGATGTGTGGTAAAGAATGGGTATGGGAGGGGACAGAAGAGGCATATGGTGACTCTTCTTTTAAGAATAGTATGTCGGGACTGGAGAGGTGGCTCAATGTTAAGACCTCTTCCAGAGGACCCAGGTTTGACTCCCAGCATCCACATGACAACTTACAGCTGTCTGTAACTCCAGTCCCAGAGGATTTGATGTCCTCTTCTGATCTCCATGGGCACCAGGTATGCATGTATGCACAGACATACATGCAGTTAAACACATAAAACAAAAACAAAAAGCAAAAATAGAATAGACCCAGTGTCCCACTATTATGACATTATTTGTCCATCACAGATTCCTTAAAAATACCATATCCACACACACATACACTTGGGGTTGGAGCTGTAGCATTTATGTTTGATAAAACAGAGCATAGGCATCCAGTCGATAACAATAAAAAGGACTTATAAATTGATGGCTCAAGGGTAGGTTCTTGAATATGTTTTAGTCTATAGTACAAACTTGTAAGTTTGTCCAAATAGTTGTGTTTATGTATTAATATATCCATTTTTGTACTTTAGAAAATCTGTATGACACACTGAAATCTGGTTTCTGTGTTTGATTTTCCATTTTTTTTGGAATTTAATTTTAATTACCATGGCAATAGAAGTCAGCTCTTACACAGAAAGACAGGAGGTTTTATCCCAGAAGAAATGATGATTCTTCACCTAACTGACAGAAAAATAATATTATACAGTAATAACAGCTAGGGAAGTGCAGAGCCTGAGGAGGTTTGAACACACAGCATTGAGAAGAACTTGCTTATGTTGTACAATTGTTGCTTCAGTGGGCTGAGGAGCAAGGAACACAGACAGCCCATCAAGGACAAGTTTAGTCATGAGAGGATGCTTACATAAGAAAGAAGTTGATGTCTTAGTAACAATTGCAAAATAAGTACATTAATTAAATGTTTTAAAATGTAATTCTGATTATATTGCTTTCTTTAACATTCTTTGCAAAAGTCTGTTACTGCGTTTTGTATTTTGTGTTGGCTTTAGTGGTGTTTATTTCCTAGGAAGACATGGGTTATCAGTGATTTGTACTGAATACTTCTATCCTCAATCATGCCATCTGGTACCCAGTCAAAACCTAACTAATGCTTGTGGAGTGGAAGATTCTGTCGAAATTTTCTGATTCTACCTTTATGAATCCTAAAATTCACAGAGACTAGGATAAATAGAGGTGGAAACAATTTTAAAATTGTATTTCTACCTGATTTATGATCCTGTTGGTATGGAAATTTCTTTTACTTTCTTTTTCTTCCTCTCTGTTGTTCAGAAAATATTCCTTCTATTCTTTTTTCTTCAGATCTTTCTTTTTTGCTTCATTATATACATGATTTAGTCATTAGCACTAACTTATATCTTCTAGTAACTGAATCCACAAAACAAGCCTTTTTCAATTTACTTGCATGGCTTTTCTTCATTTATCTCTGAATAATTTTAAATATCCAGGGTTAAGTTTAAGTGTTATACACATGGGTATATATTTGGTTGACTATGTATTAAAAAATTAAGATAGAAAATAAAAATGAAGAAAATAATTTTGAAAAATGTTAGGAATTAACCTGAATGACTATACTTTTTAAATCATGTGAAAATGGCTATGATTGCAAATACAGTTGATTTGAAATTAATTTTAAAAGAGAGAGGCCAGTGACAAAGGTCAGTGGGTAAAGGTATTTGCTGGTAAGCCTGATCTTTGCAACTAAATTGATGCCTACAAGTTCTCTTTACTGTGACACATGTACCATAGGTGTCCCTCCCCCCCACACACACACATAGAATGAAGGATGGGAAATCAATTTGGTCAAAGTACATGGTATGCTTGAATGAAAATGTGTTTATGACACCCTTCACATTGTACAAATGAATATATGTTAATAAAAATTAAGAAAACAAGTAATTATACGTAGTCTGTATTGTGCTGGTGATTGAACCCAGAGCTTTGTGTGTTCTTGGCAAAGATTCTACCAATTGCGGTACAGGCCCAGGATCTTCCTCTTTTTCGGTTCTTCTTTTCTTCCCTTTTTTGGGAGGGAGAGGGGAAGTCTTATATAACCAGGACTGCTGGCCTTGAATTTACTCTGTAGCTTTGGATGACCTCAAACTGTCTTTACTCTTATTTCCACCTCCTGGGTGCTGAGATGGTAGGTGTTTCCTACCATGCCCATTTTACTTTGTGGTAGGGGTTAGACCTTAGGGCTTTGTATCTTATAGGCAAGCACTATACCACTTGAGCTAAAGTCCTAGCCCCTCATTACGTTTTTTTAATTGCTGGATTTTCTCCTGCTGGGAATGAAACCCCACGTTTTTATCCTTGCTATATAGTTGAGCAGTCGTTTCCAAAAATGTCAGTGTTTTTAATACTACTAAACTATACGCTTAAAATGGCTAAGAGGGCCTGGAGAGATGGCTCAGAGGTTAAGAACACTGACTGCTCTTCCAGAGGTCCCGAGTTCAATTCCCAGAAACTACATGGTGGCTCACAGCCATTTACAATTCAATCTGGTGTCGTCTTCTGGCATGTAGGCAGAACAGTGTACATATAATAAATAAATAAACCTTAATAAAATTAAAAAAATGGCTAAGAAAGGTGGACAGTGGTGGTGTATGCCTTTAATCCCAGCACTCTGGAGGCAGAGGTAGGTGGATCTATGTGAATTCCAGGCCAGTCTGGTCTACAAAGCATTTCAGGACAGCCAGAAATGTTACTCAAGGAAACCCTGTCTCAAAAAACCAAAAAAATAAAGTGGTTAATATGGTAAATTTTGCACTTTGTACTTTTTCGTATTACTGGAATAATAATATAGTCTATGTATTCTGCTCATGATCCTGGCATGGCATTTATAAAGTAGTATATAGCTCAACAGGAAGCATTTTATTCCATTTTACATTTAAAAATTTCCTCAGGTCTGCAAAGAAAGCAGAATTGGAAGAAAATCACCGGAGTTATAAACAGAAAAAGAAAAGACGACGGATTAAGGTTCAAGAGGATTCATCCAGTGAAAATAAGGCAATAATGGCATTTATTATTTGAATTATAATTCACACACTATATTATACTTTATAGTAGATTCACTATTTTCTGTTTGAATTCCATTCAGTGATTGCATTTTATGTTCTTGTTTAAATTTTACCCTTGTTGGAATAATCTTTTTTCTTTCTTGATTTCCCCCTTCGACAAAAGTCCTTAATTTAGTTTTAATATGTTATTGTATTCACATTTAAAAGATTACATTTGTAAACATAAGTTTTATATGCTAGACAGTCATGAACTTCATATGACTGCCTTCATTCCCTTTTTTTCCTTTTTTTAAATTCAAAATAGATTTTTTTCACACAATGTATTCTGATCATGGTTTTCTTTTTGAGATAGGGTTTAGTAGCCCAGCCTGGCCTTTAATTTATGATCCTCCTGTCTCAGCTTCCTGAGTGCTGACATGACAGGTTATGTGCCATGAGAGGTTCTTTTTATGTGTTGTGCTGGGTATTGAACATAGGGCCTCATGAGTATTAGGTAAGTACCCTTTACTTGAGACAGTCTCATATCCTAGAAGGGTTCACTTTTTGAAAAATTAATTTTGGAAATATGTTAAAATATGCTATTCAGTGGCCTCAGTTATTTTCACAAATAATAATTCCAGGCCCACTGGATTTTACAAGTTTAAAAACACAGGCTTTTATTTATGTGTGTGGTGTGCGCATGCGGATGTCTGTGTATGTCTGTCTATGTTAGTTTAATGCCACGTGTGTGCAGGTATCAAAGGAGTCCAAAAGAGGGCAATGGATCCCCTGGAGCCATTATGAGCCACTGGATGTGGGTGTTGGGAACCAAACTCAAGTCTTCTGGAAGAACAGCAAGCCCTTTTAAACACTGAGCCATCTCTTCAGGCCAAGACCCATTGAACTTTGTCATTTTTCTGTGTAATCTTTAGCTCCTGGTGCACTGTAATTTCTGAATTTGACATTTCAAAGTGATTTGTACACAAAATATTTGTTTTTTCTACCTAGCTTATTACATTGCTAAGTTGTTTTCAAGTTTAATTCATGTTGTAGTATATATCATTATTTCATTTTTACATTTGAATAAACTATTGCATATGTATATCACATTTTGATTATGCATTCATCTGTTGATGGACATTGCTTATTTTCTCCTTTAAATTGTTTTGAGTCAGACAATTAAGCACATGACTGCAAATGTTTACTTTTTGCTCCTGCATTTAGTTGTTTTTGGTATGCATACAAGTTGTAATTGCTGGGTCATACAGTAAGTATACTTTTAACTTCTTAAAGGATTTCCACATACTTTTTATATTGATTACATCATTTAGCATTCTTGAAAGCACTGTACCGCCTCATTGATTCACTGACATTTACTTTCTTTTTATTTTGGTTTTCTAAGACAGGGTTTCTCTGTATTGTTTTGGAGTCTGTCCTGGAACTCACACTGTAGACCAGGTTGGCCTCGAACTCACAGAGATCCGCCTGCCTCTGCCTCCCGAGTACTGGGATTAATGGAGTGCACCACCACTGCCCAGCGACATTTACTTTCTTATATTTGCTTTTATTATTCAATAACAACAGTTATTGAATATTTTTTCATGTTTTTGTTAGGTATTTGTGTACAGTTTTAAAATAAATGCCTATTTGATTCATTTGCCCTCATTTTTCCCATTTTCTGGGTTTAATTGAATTTTTATTCAATACTTTTTTATTTGTAGATATAATTAATAATGTTTTTCTTCTACCCTTTGTTGGCACATTACATAGTACAACATTAAGTGAATGAATTAGAACATTTTTACTGTTTGTCTCTTACGTTAAATGCTACAGAGCCATTCTGAAGAAGAAAGAAAGGAAGATGATGAGGATGAAGATGAGGATGAGGAGGAAGAAGATGAAAATGATGATTCTAAGTCACCTGGAAAAGGCAGAAAGAAAATTCGGAAGATTCTTAAAGATGATAAACTGAGAACAGAAACCCAGAATGCCCTTAAAGAAGAGGAAGAGAGACGGAAGCGTATTGCTGAGAGGGAACGTGAGAGAGAGAAATTAAGAGAGGTAGCCAACTTATTTCTGTTTCCTATGTAACTTTCATAGGCACTTCACAGATGCAATCAGGTTTTCAAGAGTTTTAATAAACTTCAGATTTCTAGGTAAAATTCTGTCACACCAGTGGCAACACGCTATGCTTACTAGGCTATGTTTGTAGAGTTAGGTACTTGGAAACACTTGAGACTCTTTCATGATCACCAAGATGATTGTAGTATAGTTAGGAAAATGACTTCTTTTTAAAATTCCTTTTTACTTTCTAAAAATCGCATGTGTGGGCACATACATGCCACGATGCACATGTACCTTTCAGAGGGCTCTTTGAGGTTGGTTCTCTTCTTTTGCCTTTATGTCGGTTATGGATCTAACTCAGTTGTCAGGTTTGTGTAGAGAGTTTCTTTATCTGCTGAGTCATATTGCCAGCTCTAATTTGTTTCTTATATTTAAAAAATATTTGTTTTTTAAAAAGATCGTTATTTTAAATTCTGTGTTTATATGTATGTTTACATGTGGGTTTGTTTCTTATGTGTGCCCATGAAGGCACAAAGATGGCGTCAGATCTGCTAGAACTGGGCTTATGGGCAGTAGAGCTGCCAGACATGGGTGCTAGCAACTGAATGCTTGTCCTTTGCAAGAGCAGTATGTGCTAATAATCTCTGAGCTATCTCTCCAGCCTCAGGGTTTCTGCTTTTGAATGAATTTTATAGTGAAAATACTGTCAAATATACATTTGGGGAATAATAACAATAATCTTGCATGTATCCATTATTCCAACTTCATCCATTACTAACACTACCGATTTGTTTTATATATTTACTTAGCTTTAGATTATTTTGGAATCGATCCCAGATATAGTATCTATCAGTAGTTGGGACTGTAACATTAAAAAGATAAGGATCTTTTAAACATTATAAGATCTTACTATACTTTATTCCTTTAAGTAATAGAATTTTGAGGAATGTGTTTTCTTTAAGTTGCATTGCTTTGAATTTTCATGACTCTTGGTTTTCTGTGTTGTGACCTCTATATCCCTTGGGATGCATATACCTGTTGGCTTTTTATGGGGGTATTTGTGAGTGACCCTCTCTTGTGAGCGCATTCCTTAGTAACAGTCAGACCCAGTGTAAAGACATCACAAAATTAAAGCAGATGTAGGAACACACTTAAAGTCAATTAAAGCCAGATTCCATTTCATCAAGAACCCCAGGAAGAAAAACAGCCGAAATAATGCTTTAGCGTACGCTATGAAGTTAAAAATTAATGTCAAATAATAATAATGAATACATTTAATTTAAAAAGACATAGGGAAATGAGCAAAGAAAGCTTACTATACGAAGGAAAACAACTTCCCATTTTTACATAGCAGGTGAGCTTTTTTGCTGTGGGGTGGGTAGGTTCTTAATGTACTGACCATTTCCTATATGTAAGAAATGCTGGCAAAGGTCTAAGATAAAGAGCACTCTGGGCTGTGTTTCCTGTTTGCATCCGAGCCTGAGAAGCATGGAAAGCATTGAGATTTATGGTATAGGGGAGTACCACATTTCCTGGTACTTTACGTACTGATCTCAGTGGTTTCAGATCTGCCAAAAGGAGGAGGTTGCAGACATCAAGGGGTTTTCCTCCTATATGTAAAAGAATAACATGCACTTAAACTCTTTGAAGAAGATAAATTCATTATCTTATCATTCTTAGAGAACTTGGGAGTGACTTAGCTGTGTATGACTCTACTGGATCCTCTGCTCAGTGTTTAAGTTGAAGAAATTCCTCAGGGCTATACTTATTCATCTAAGAGTTTGTGTTATTTTCTCAAGTTAACTTCTTAACAGAGTGTTTTAGCTTCTTGTAGTTGGATACATAGACCCTTATCTTCTAGAAGTCTCTCCACTACCTGGCATTTTGCTTCAGTTTTGTGACCCATAAGAAAACATTTCGTTCTTTTAAATAGCTGATTTTGAGTAGGACAGGCCCACTTAGGAGAATATGTTTGGATTAAGTCTGAGTTAAATGATGAGTAGGCATACCTGGGACCAATATTACATTGTATTTATAAGACCCAACCACACTCAATGAGGACAGATTATACAGGATGCTTATAATAAGAGGCAAGAATCGGCCGGGCGGTGGTGGCGCACACCTTTAATCCCAGCACTCAGGAGGCAGAGGCAGGCTGATCTCTGTGAGTTTGAGGCTGGGCTGGATTGACAGCCTCCAAAACAATACAGAGAAACCCTGTCTTGTTACCCCCCCCCCCCCAAAAAAAGAGGCAAGAATCGTGGTTCTACCTACTGTGTATTGCAAACAGGCCAGGGCATTTAAGAAATTTTTTTTTGTTTGTTTTTTTGAGACAGAGTTTCTCTGTGGCTTTGAACTTAAAGAAATCTGCCTGCCTTTGCTTCCTGAGTGCTGTGATTAAGGGTGTGCACCACCACCACCCTGCTAATTTTTTTTCCAGTGGTTTTTCCTTGTGATGTGTCGTGATCCCATCTGTGCTAGAACGTAGTAACTGGTGAATACTTACTGTGTACTAAGTTCTTAATATATGCTGCTTTATTTATTATCCACAGTACCCCCAAGGGCTCTTGAAATGATTTCCTAATTTTCAAGCAAGAAAGTTTACATAGCATAATGAAATGGAATTTGGGCCTAAATGCCTATGCTCAAGTATAATGTTTCCCAGTATTATTCTTGATGTTTTTATCACTTAGAATTTCATGTAAATTCAGTATCCAAATAATTTTTCACAAACCTGTGATTTAATTTTCATTTTTATATATGATAACATTATTGTTTTTAAAAGATTACCCTTTTAAGGAGACCCTGACAACTTTTTTATGCACAAAGTTTCATAGTTTCTTATGTTTGCTTCAAAATAATTTCTAGGATAGATGTGGTGCTAAATGCTTGTAATCCCAGCATTCAGGAATGGGAGAGAGGTGGTCTGTCACTTCAAGTCTTTTTTTTCATTTTTTCGAGACAGAATCTCATGTAGTATAGTTTGGCCATGAACTTCATATGTAGCTTAGGCTGTCCGTGAACTCCGATTTTCCTGTCTTTACTTCCCAAGTGGTGAGAGCATCAATTTTGCCAGCATACTTGGCACTTTTTGTTCGTCTTATATGTTAGGGAATTGAACCTAGGGCTTGATACATGTTAGGCAAGATCTGTATATCAAGCCACACCCATCCCTACAATTTTTTAAATCAAGGGTTTTTGTTTCATTCTTGAAAGGAACAATAAATTTGTTCACAGAAACGTTTCTTTTGTTAAAACATGGAAGCAATTTTATAGGTCCAAATTAGTTTCTTACTTGCCATCTGTAAAGCTTGAGTTAGGGTTAACAAAAAAATATGTGTGTACACATACTTGTGTTTGTATGTTGTTCAATTTTTTATTGTTGTTAGTATATATGTATTTGTGTGTGGGGGGGGGCATACTTCTGTAGATGCCAAAGTTCAACCTTGAGTGTCATTCCTCAGGAACCATCAACCTTATTTTTTGAGATAGGGACTTTGAGTGACTTGGAATTAGCCAGGTAGATTATGTTGGCTGGACAGTGAAGGTTAGGAATCTGCCTTTCTCTCCCACCACAAGGGCTAGCTTGCTTCTTCCCTCCTCTGACTTACCTCCCCACCTGGCTGACCCCCTCCTTCCTTCCATGCATCGTGGGGATTGAACTCAGGTCCACATTCTTGCGCAGCAAGTACTTCACTGACTGAGATAGCTATTTACTCAAAATACTATTTAATGCAACGATATTAGAAAAATTTGGGTGAAAAGTAATAAACCAATTCCTGACATTGCTATTGTGATTTCGAATCTATGTGAGGTATTTTACTCTGGAAAACATGAACCTGGACCTTCTCATATTAGATTTTTTCTGTGGGAATAGGTGTGTTTGTGTATTAGAAAATCTGTCTTGTTAAGATTGCTACTAAGCTGGGCGATGATGGCGAGCACCTTAATCCTAGCATTTGAGAGACAGAGGAAGGCAAATCTCTGTGAGTTCGAGGCCAGCCTGGTCGACAAAGCAAGTTCCAGGACAGCTAGGACTGTTACACAGAGAAACCCTGTCTTGAAAAACCAAAGGAAAAAAAAAAAGATTGCTATTCTAAAATTGCTTGAGAGATTTCTGTGAGCTTACATATCAACGACTCTTTTTTGTAGGTGATAGAAATTGAGGATGCCTCACCTACTAAGTGTCCAATAACAACCAAATTGGTTTTAGATGAAGATGAAGAAACCAAAGAACCTTTAGTGCAGGTTCATAGAAACATGGTTATAAAATTGAAACCCCACCAAGTAGATGGTAAGAAGCTATTGAATGATTTAATTACTTTTAGATGGATTTTAACTATATTTTGTTTTCTTCTGTTTGCCTAACATTTTGCTAATCACTGGAGGTACATGGTTGAGCAAAATTAATACGATTCTAGCTGTTACAGATCTCATAAGGAAGTAAGGAAGAACAAGTTTTGGTGACTGCAAGTATATTGTCTTAAATTGTCAAGAAGCGCTATTTACAAGTGGGAATCTATGTAGCAAGCAGAGTTAAAGTACATAGTGCTTGGCTACAACAGGAAGAAATACAGTTGACCAAAAGGTTTCTTTGGGAAATGCCATGTCAACATTTTCAGTTAGATGTTTAATTAATTTCCCAACATTAGTATTAGAAAGTTATTCAACTGTTTCTACTCTCTGCTTTGTTAGTATAGAATTACTAACTTAATTTTAAATGTATACGTGAAGTAGTCCATAAGGGAAATTCAACAGTTCCTACTTCTTGGGTTACCAGCACTGTTTATTTGTCAGTTCTATTACTGGACAAGTAATTTTCTCTCAGGATTTCTTTTCTGATTGATTCAATAAATCAGAAAGTGTATTTGATAGTAAACTGTGCCCTCTTTGGCTAAAGTTTCTGTTTTCATAAGAGTCTTATTCTGCCTCTTTGGTCTATCCTTAGGTATAGAGACATCTAGTATGATAGTTTAGGGTAATTGAACAGACATCCCCCTGTTGTCTGCTTGTGTTTTATTTCTGATTTATTTTAGCAGAAAAACCAAGTCTATTTGTCTTAAGAATTTCTTTAGCACTGATTGTTTTTTGAATGCTGTTTCTTGGGTGCTGGAGAGATGGCTCAGTAACTAAGAGAACTTGTTGCTCCTGTAGGAAAACTTGGTTCAATTCCAAGCACTCATGGTAAACATTCATGCACATAAAATAAGTCTTAAAAACCAAGCCAAAAGCCCACTGTGTCTTACAAGTTTTGGTTTCTTATTCTTAGGTGTTCAGTTTATGTGGGATTGCTGCTGTGAGTCTGTGAAAAAGACAAAGAAATCCCCAGGTTCAGGGTGTATTCTTGCCCACTGTATGGGCCTTGGAAAGACCTTGCAGGTAAGAGCTAATGGAAATGGATCTCTCCATTTTTGCACATCTATTAATATGTATTTTGGATTCTGCTGTGCTTTAGGCAGATTATAGAGATACACAGTAAGGAAGCATGATAAGATTGCTTCTCAAGTATTACATCTTGTATATTTATATATCTTGTATATTGTAGTGGAGATTTAAAAAGGGCAAGACCGAGAGTTAGGGCAAACATATTTCTTTGGCGCACACACCCACGTGTGTGTATGAACAATTAATATAAAAAGAGACCATGAATCAGAAAGAGAGCAAGGAGGGATATATGTGAAAGTTTGTAGGAAAGAAAGGAAAGGAGAAAATGATAGTTATTTTGTAATCTGAAATAAATAGTTTAAAAAACCCAAATATTCTTGGTAGCATTACAAAAAGTTGATGTTTATGCAAAGATGCTGATTGATGGAGTTGAGCAGTATGGTTGCAGGTGTAACTACCTATTGCTTCAAGGACACAAGATGAAATTAACTTCTTCAACCTTTTTTCTTGAGTCAGGGTTTCTCTGTCTAGCCCTGACTGTCCTGGAACTCTGTAGGTCAGGCTGGTCTTTAAACTCAGAGATCCACCTGCCTCTGCCTCCCAAGTGCTGGCATTAAAGGTGTGCACCACCACTGCCCGGCCTTTTTACTCAATTTTTAATAGTCTGTGATGGTAATAAGAATTGTAAATCTTTTTTACTATTAAAACTGCTTCATTTCTAGGACTGGGTTTAATAGTCTATTTCTTTACCTGTATTTTGTATGGCTTTGAGATTATGACCTTGCTTTGTTGACTGGCTCATTGTTTAAAACAAACTATAAAGTCACGATTGTTGATTTTTTCTTTCTAATTTTTTTGTGAGTATTTAAATTGAAAATGGTAACTTTATTTCCTTTTTGTAGGTGGTCAGTTTTCTTCACACAGTTCTTTTGTGTGACAAATTGGATTTCAGTACAGCTTTAGTGGTTTGTCCTCTTAACACTGCTTTGAATTGGATGAATGAATTTGAGAAGTGGCAGGAGGGATTAAATGATGATGAAAAGCTTGAGGTAACATTGAACAATTATTCCTATTGAAACAAAGCATGAGATTCATCTATGGAAAGAAGATTCTTATTTACTAATGTATATTTCAGTGGCAATATTTAGAACTCATTCACTTTTATAGCTACTGTTAAACCTTTATCTTTAAAGGTCTGTGAATTAGCAACCGTGAAACGTCCACAGGAGAGAAGTTATATGCTACAGAAATGGCAAGAAGATGGTGGTGTTATGATCATAGGGTATGAGATGTATAGAAACCTTGCTCAAGGAAGGAATGTGAAGAGTCGGAAACTTAAAGAAATATTTAATAAAGCTTTAGTTGATCCAGGTAAGGTACTATCAATACTGACATGACAGAGTCAGTTGAAAAGTCTCTATTTATCGTTAATTTAAGAGTTATTAATTGAACACTTATTAATTAGCTGACACTTGTTTCCTTTGTCCTTTAGGTTTTATTTTTGTTATTAATGGGATTTTCTTGATATAGCCTAAAAACTACATCTGTAAATTCTGATGAATCTGTAATACAATTCTAAATGTAGTTTTAGCTGATGCTAATCTTATTTAAAATGTATTTATTTAATTTTAAGTCATTTTTTAAATGTTCGTGTATGTATAAGTATTTTGCTTATATGTGTATCTGGGCAGCACACGTGTGCCTGGCAACTGAAGAGGCCTGACTTGCATGTTAGAATCCCCAGAACTAGAATTACAGATAGTTAAGAGCTACCATATAGGTGCTAGGAACTGCACCTAGCCTCTTTATGAAAGCAGCCAGTGCCCTTAGCCTTTGACCTATCTTTCCAGTCCCCTTGTTAGTTAATTTTTAAATTTAAATTCCTAGGTTATCCTTGTTATGACTTCAACAATACATTGGTCTTTCCATTAATGTTTTGTTGGTAGCGGGGTGTTTCTGTGTAGTCCAGGTGGGCCTTGAATGTTTGATCCTCCTCTGTCCCTGTCACTGTCCCCTTAAGATTAGAGATAGTTTGAAGTCTCAAACTATTATATATATTTCATAATATCTACAATGTATAACATACAGCAAGAAGAATGTGTTAAAACATAAGGTCCAACATTTACATTACTTTTACATGTACATTCTCTTAAGCTCTAAATTAGAAGAGATATATAAAATAGTAATTTCTTTTTCTCCCCAAGTGGTTTCTATGGTTTGATGCAATTTTGTGGCTTCAAAGATTCATATGAGAGCTAAGTATTTGAAAACTTGGGTTTGTGTAATATAGAAGAAACAGCCTAATTCATGCATAGGATAAAAGCAGGATGTCAGAGCCAGAGAAGCAGTTTGAAAATATCACAGTCTTAGGGAGCATGTTGTAAAGTGGGAGAAGTAGGCTTCAAGGCCAGAATCTGGAAAATTAGGAGAAGATAGTATTATGACAGCTGTTTGAGGATACCATAGTTGTTAGATAATAGCACATCGGCTTCTCCAGTTTTGAATTGCCACATAACCTCTTCTACAAGTGGCACAAAGTGACTTCAGCCATTTAAATATTGATCATGGTAGTGAGGATTGAATCTAGGGCTTTGCTGTGTTTTCTTTTCTTTTAAATTTTTCGAGACAGGGTTTCTCTGTAGCTTTGTAGACCAGACTGGCCTTGAACTCACAGAGGTCTGCCTGCCTCTGTTTCCCAAGTGCTGGGATTAAAGGCATGCCACCAGTGCCTGGCTGAACAAACCTAGGGCCTTGTTCTACATCCCTAGCCCTGACTTTGATTTTTTTAAAAAAAAATAGGTGGCATTGTTATATATTGAAAAAGAAACATTAATTAAACATTACAAAATTATACCTTCATGTTGCCCTTAATAGTTTTTGAAAAGTGTTTTCCTATTTAGTATACTTAAATTGGTCTAGTGGACTTTTCTAATTCATTTTAGTACTTTTAGAAGTATACTTTGAAGTTTTTTAACTTCAGAAGACAAAATCTGTGTGTATGTTTATGAACCAAATTCAAAGTATTATTGCATTTGAGCAGTAAGGTCTGCCCACTTCAGGTTTAAAAATTTACTAGAAAGACACATGAAAGCCTGAATTCATCATACTCATGCTTATGGCTTCTTATTCTGAAATAATACAAATTGACAAGTTAACAAAAGAAAAAGGCACACAGGGCAGGATCCAGGAGTTTCTCGGGTGGGATAAGTGATGATCTGGTATAGTCATACAGTGCAAGCTAGCTTCTTCTGGTAGTGATGTGTGACTATGGTCATGGACTACTGTCAGCCGGCTGGCTTGCTTTGGACTTCATTATATAGGTCTCATTAACTCCCTCTCTGTATGATCTAAGTCTCTAGTTCCTGTAGATATCTGAATGCTTCTTAGACCCCTTACCATAAAGCACATCATTAGCATAGGCTATTCTGAATTTCTGGATAAAGTACTCATATCATGCCAGAAATTGTAAGATTTTTTCCTTGGAAAAGATTCCCCCTTCCCCACCCCATGTGTGTGTGTGTGTGTGTGTGTCCGTTATTTAAATGCAAATACATTTCATATTGTAAATAGTAGTAGACTTACAATGGATTTTGTTGGGTTTACTTTCAGATTTTCTTTTTTTACTTCCACGATTACGTGAAGTCTATATATGCATTCAGTTGGAACTATGCTTTAAATGTAGAATTCTAATGTTTCTGGGCTGATGATGATGCTCAGATGCTCAGCAAGATACTGCCTTTAAGTGAAAACTTTAACACTGGGTTCAGTGGCACATACCTGCAACCCCAGCACGTGGGAGGTAGAAGTAGGAGGACTAATAATCAAAGTGTTATTCTTGTGTATGGAGTGGATTCCAAGCCAGCCTGGAATATATGAGCTTCTGTCTTAGGAAAAAAAAGTTCTCTAAAAAGTGCAATGTGTAACTTTCATTCATTCATGTTATCACTAGAGTAAACAACCAATGTTGTACAATAATTTTTGTTAAACTATGATATTCAGTAGAATTTAGTAGGTTAGGTTAGTAGGTTAAGTCAATTTTCAACTTATGACGAGTTTATCACAAAATTAACATGCCAAGTGAGGGGCATTTCTATTGCAACTGTTAAATATTTAGCATTTCTTTTGAGTTCTGAACATAAGAGATGAACATTGTTAATTTAAGCTGTAAGTTACTACATTAGGCCATAGTTGAACTAATTCTTTGATAGACCCCCTTTGATAGTTTTTAGGCAGAAATATTATTTTTGTATGTATTTTGAGCACTTTTGCGAATATATATATTTCAGATCAATTCCTAGAAATTAAAATGTAGGCATGCATGCATGCATGCATGCATGCGTGAATGAATATATAAATGAATGAATAAATAAAGCTGTAATATATTTTTTGAGAGTCACTTTCAAATAATCCGATTTTTTGTTGGAAGAAGGCATTTTCTTTCCCTGTCCCTGCCAATTTATCAACCTGCTTAACTTTATTAAAATGGTCCTAGCAATTAGTGTTAGTCATTTGAAATAAGCTTCAACTGTTGCGTGGATTCTTGTGATTATTTATATTATTCCCTTTTTAAAATATCTATTTAACTTTTTTGTTTCGTTTTTTGTTTTTTGAGACAGGGTTTCTCTGTGTAATAGTCCTGGCTGTCCTGGAACTTGCTGTGTAGACCAGGCTGGCCTTGGACTCACTGAGATCCCCCTGCCTCTGCCTCCCAGATGCTGGGATTAAAGGCATACATCACCACTGCCCAGCAAAATATTTACTTTTATTTATGTGCATGGGTGTTTTCCATGCATATACTTTTGTGCACCATGTTCATGCCTTTTGCTTGTGGAGGCCAGAAGAGTGTGTGAGATCCCTTGGAACTGGAGTTATGTACTGGAGGTGGAACCCAGGTTTTCTAGAACACCAAGTTCCTTTAACCACTGAGCCACCTCTTTTATTCAGCCTCTATATTACTCCTTATAGTGTTTGATATTTGTCTTTGTATTTATAAGCATTGTTTTTGCATACATTTTTACAGGCCCTGATTTTGTTGTTTGTGATGAAGGCCATATTCTAAAAAATGAAGCATCTGCTGTTTCAAAAGCTATGAACTCTATACGATCTAGGAGGAGGATTATTTTAACAGGAACACCACTTCAAAATAACCTGATTGAGTGTAAGTTAATATATGTCATTATGCTGTAGAATCCTGCTGTTGACTGATACAATTTTGTAACTTTGCTGTTTTCCTTCCTTCTGTTTGTTGTAGTCCCTGACCATTATCTATAGTTGATTCTTCTGTAAAAGAACAACATGCTTGTAAGGTGTAAATGCTGTATAAATATGAGTGGCCAACTAATGTGCTATTGTCATGTTCAGATATAACTAAGGAAATTCAAATACTTTAAAAAGTACCAGAATTCCTTAATGATTTGCTTTAAAATGTACAAAATGTGTGTGTGTGTGTGTGTGTGTGTGTGTGTGTGTGTGTGTGTGTTTATTTAACATGTGTTTTTAAAAGTTTCTTTTTAAGTTTTTGGTTTTTCGAGACAGGGTTTCTTTGTGTAGCCTTGGCTGTCTTGGAATTCTATAGAGCAGGCAGGCCTCGAACACAGAGATCTTGACTGCCTCTGCCTCCTGAGTGCTGGGATTAAAGATGTGTGCTACCACCACCTGACTCAACATGTCTTGTGAGGATATGTGTCCACTTTGGAGGAAGTATTAGTAAGGAAACAAAAATAGGTAGTATATACCTCTGATCCCATCACTGAGGAGGATTCCCTTTATGAGTTCAAGACTAGCCAATACTACCTTGTTAGACCTTGTCTGCCCTTGCCAAACAATATAAAAAGAAATGCCAGTTGTGAACATTTTCGGTAAGGTGTGGATGAGAAAAGGTGAACTCGACCAAATCTGTGTCAGAGTAGCATTTACTTAGGCTGAGGACAAAACTGAAATAGAGAGGTTCCTTGTGAATTTCTCTTATTTTCATGTGTTGGCTAAGTAGTTTAAATATTTAGCAAATTCCAATATAGAGTTTTGTGTTTTCCATTGTGCAGGTTTTTGTTTGTTCATTTTTTCCCATTGTCTTTCTGTTCTTTTTTTATAGAAATGCTATTTTACATTGTGATGTTTTTTAATATAGGGCAATTGATGGCACCTTTAAAGGCTCCTACGGCTGAATCAAGAACTGAATTAGCTGCATAATTTAGTAACAGTAGCGTATTAACGACTTTTATTATTTATATTTGGTATTTATATTTTATTTACAAGATGCTCTCACTGACCATAAAATCACCATTACAGTTATATACACTTGTTTTGCATGTCAAGTATAGTAATTTAGAATCAACCTCTTTTTAGAAAAAATAAAATAGGGGTAGGATTTATGGATGGTCTCTTTCAATTTCTCATATGATTTCTCTAATTCTAGATCAGACTTAGAACCAGATTTTTTTTCCTAAACTTTTTCCCCCTCACCTCCTTTCCTGCCTCTTATTTCCCTTCCTTTTGTGAGATGAACTTTTGTCATAAGCAATATATTGGGGAGTTCTTTTGGGTCTATCATTAATGTTATTAATGAATTACTGTCTTGTCTCTTAGATCATTGCATGGTTAACTTTATCAAAGAAAATTTGCTTGGATCCATCAAGGAGTTCAGGAATAGATTCATAAATCCAATCCAAAATGGTCAGTGTGCAGACTCCACCATGGTCGATGTGAGAGTGATGAAAAAGCGTGCTCATATCCTCTATGAGATGCTGGCTGGATGTGTTCAGGTACAGATGTGTTCCATAGCAATGATACTGCAATCCCAAATCATTTTCTAACTTTAGCCTTGAACTACATTTGTTTCTTACTCTGTTTTTCAGTTTTATAATTATATCCCTTTGCATTGATTTAAAAATCTGCCATTCACACTCGTAATATGTCTGGCAGTTTAAGAACACAGGTGGTTGAATCTCTTGCCTCATATCTTGCTATGTTCATGTTTAGATTCATTGTCCTAAGAACAGGGACTTCTGAAGAAGCATAGCCATCAGGATTAAATAATTAAATAATTCTTATGCGTGCTATGTCATGGTGTTCAGAACTTCACTGTTTGAAATAGCTGTAGTACAGACTAGTATGAATTAAGAGTGGGATTAGTTTTAAAGTAATCCGTAACGTAACATTTTAGGGGCTGGCATGATGGCTTAGTGGTTAAAAGTGCTTACTGCACAAGCTTGGCAATCAGAGTTCAATCCCTGAAATTTATGTAAGGGTGGTAAGAGAAAACTTGCTTCATAGAGTTGTCCCTGGGCTTGACATGCATACTGTGACACACACATCATTCATCCATTCATTAATACTTAATCCATACATCCATTTACAGACACATACAAGCGTGTAGCAGTTTGCTTATTTTCAGGTATGTTCTGAACAAGCTAATGTTACGTAAATAAGACTTGGCAAATCAGTGTTCATACATAGATAAATATCTAGCTATCGATTCAGAGATTTCAAGATGTACAGTCTGTATGAGGACACTAAACACTAAGGGTAGTTACAAAGATATTCCACAGTGACACAGGTTGTCCATTAGGAAGGCCATAATGCTATCATAGAAGACAATGGCTACGTGTACTATTAAGTACTTTTTCTTTATTGCTATTACTACCCAAGTAGTAAGTTGGGTTTGTTTTAAGTAGTTATTTATTTATATTTAGCAATTATTAGTATTTTTCTGTTCCTATAATAAAATGGTTTCATTAGTGTTTTTTGTACATGGTTTATTTTCTCAAGAGCGGCAAACATTGCTTCAAAGGTTTAATTTCTCAGAGGGGCAAACATTGATTCAGAAGTTCTGTTACTGTTTGGCATGCAACTTAGATTGCCTTATAATTTAGGTTTGGTATTTTTTTCTTTTTCCTCCTTTGCGATGAATTTTATTTATGTAACCTAGACTGGCGTAGAACCCATGATCTTCCCTACCTCAGCATCTTAAGTTTTAGGATCACAGGCATGTGCCTCAACACTTGGTTACGAGAAACTTTTTTTGTTTTATTTTTTTCAAACAGTTTCTCTGTGACTTGATTAGTAGACAAAGCTGGCCTTGTACTCATAATGATCTGCCTGCCTCTTTCTCCTGAGTGCTGGCATTAAAGGTGTGTGCCACTACCACCCTACTTATGTAACAGTTTTGATTCCTATGATTTATGTGAAAAACAGGTCAGTTTTGATAGTGCTTATCACATGATTTCCCCTATTGTATTTGTTTTTAAATACAGAGATCATCTTGCAAACTTGAAATTCGTTAAGTGATCACATGTAACCAACCACTTGATTTTAAAACCTGATGGGCATGTTGCAGTATCTTTTTTTAACCAATGTACCATGTTATCTAGTCATATGAAATATATTAAGTATAGTAATATGTGGTTCCTGTTATGATTTGAGAGGGTAAATATTTTTAAGAAAATGTTGACTGTATGTCTTTCAACTCTAAAATATGATAGCTCTATAAGCAATTTTTACATATTTTAATAACTGATTCACAATCTCTGTCTTGCTAATTGCAGAGGAAAGATTATACAGCATTAACAAAGTTCTTGCCTCCAAAACATGAATATGTATTAGCTGTGAGAATGACTGCTATTCAGTGCAAGCTCTATCAATACTACTTAGATCACTTAACAGGTAACCAGTTCATTCAGTTGTTTTTATCTTCGTTATGAATATGTTCTTTTTCTGAAGAATATGGTGATGATAATTTTGTCATTTTTAAAATTTTATTTGGTTTTTCTTTTTAGTTTTATATTTTAATAAGTATGCCTAAATTGCAGTGTTTATAATTACAGTTACTATCAAGGGACAAACTTAAAGCCATAAATCTTTAGTGGAAGTGCCCTTCCTTGCATATATGGGAACCTTGACTTGATTTTCAGCACCCCAAAACTATATAAGACTATCCACACAAGTCTCTGTGTATTATATGTGTGAATAAAGCCTTATTTGTTAAGAGCTACTTCAGGCCAGGCATGGAGTACATATGGGAAGAATAAATATAGGTGAAAAGTTGTCCTTCAGCCCACTTTCATATAGTTATTGATTTAAAAAAAAAGGGAAGCCAGATTTGGTGCCACATACCTATAATCCCAGTATTTAGGAGGTAGAAGCAGCAGGATTAGGAGTTCAAGGCTGTTCTCTCATACACAGGGAGTTGGAGGCTTCCTGGGGTATATGAGATGCACAGGCATCTTCAAAGAGATGCACAGGCATCTTAAGAGAGATGCTTAGCTGGGAATTGAAGCAGGAAGCTCAGCCTTGTCTACATAGTGAATTCTAGGATACCCTGTTGCACAGTAAGACCAGGTTGGGGGAAATACGCAAGGGGAGAAGGAGAGACAGAAAGAAGGAAAGGGAGATGTGGACCAGGCTTGACAGAGTAAGAAAACCTAGTAAATGTCTCATCTAAAAACAAAAATCCAAAAGTAAAACTCACTGGGCCTAGTGGTGCAGCCTTTAATTCCAGTACTCAGGAGGAAGAGGAGGTGGATTTCTTGTTAGTTCAAGGCCAGCCTGGTGTCTCGGAAAAACTAAAAACAAAACAAACATGAACCAGCTTCTATCTCCTCCCTTCCTCTTTGTCTCTCCCACCTCCCTTTCTCTTCTCCTTCCCCTTCTTCTCCCATTCACCTCTCCCCCTTTCAGATACGGTCTCACTGTGTTCAGCAGACTGTCTTGTACTCTTTGACTCAAGCAAGCAATCTCACCTCATCTTTCCAAAGAGGTTGCCCGCACAGTCATGCACTGCCTCATTCAGTTAATTAACAAAAAGTGAAGGCTTATATTTAAGAACTAAAACTAACCTGGCATGGTAATACACGGCCTGTGATCCTGGTACGCATGAGGCTATAACAGAAGGATCTTAAGTTTGATTCCAGCCTTGGCTTTGTAGCAAGTTCCCAACCAGCCTATGTTACACAGTAAAACCCTGTCTCAATTGAATAAAAAGATGAAAGACAGCTTGTGATGAGGTAATTATATGTGAATTCTATCTAATAAGGTACTTATATCTATAACTCATATAAGGGACTTTTACAACTCAATCATATATGGACCCCCCTGCCAGGTGTGGTAGTACAACATATATAATCCATCCCTACACTGCAGGGGAGGGAGTGCTAGGATAGGATCATGAACTTAAGGCCAGCCTGGGTTATATAGCCAAAGTTCTCAAACCATCCCTTCCTGTAAGGCCAAATGAGTGTTAAGGATGAGAAGACATAATTCCAAAGAATAAACAAATATCATTTACTCATATTATTACTCAGAAAATGAATGCAAGGCAGGTACACAGTGACAGATCATTTTACACGATATGATAAAAGGAAATTAAAAAGTGGCCAAAATGTAGAGGAATCGCACACCAGTTCTACTCTTAGATGTACATACACAATTGTCATGAAGTTTAAATTTCAATGTTGATGGCAACATTTTAATAAATAGCTGAAGTGCAGAAACAGTTCATATTTGTTAATAAAATGAATGGATGAAGAAACAACCACTATCACAATTCAGAGACTTTTGGTTGTAGGAGCCTTTGTGTTTTTGCAATGTTGGACATTGGTCCTAGAGTATGACACAGGTTAGCTAAGCACCATATCTCTGAGCTATATCTCAGTCCTACAATACAGCTTTAAAATATATAAACACCATCACAAAACTCTACACTACTTAGCCTCCATCTTCCAATTCCCTCCTTTCTATAGCCCTTAGCCACACTTAATTAATGAATTTATAGATTTGCCAACACTTGATATTTTATATAAACAGAATCATAAATCGTAATCATTGATGTATGGCTTCTTTTCATGTTTGTAAGTGTGACAGACACTAGTATGTGCCAGAAAACTGTTTCCTTATTGTCAAACAATACCCATTATATGTATAATCCATGTTTCTTCATCTATTAAACTGTTTGGTGATATAAAGAAAATCTTATCCTTTTATTACATATCAAAATAAGCATATCACAGTTTTTACACAACTCTTTTAGAGGACAGTTCAGCAATGATGTATTTATAATGCCTGATTAGGGAAGCCAATATGAACATGATGGAATTACAAAGTTTTGATTTTAATTTAATATCAGATACTCTTCAGTTATTGTTGATTATATAGAATTTTCTTGTGCACTTCATGTTAGGTGTGTGATGTCTTGGGTGTTTATGCCACCCTAAGTGTATTATAATAAAAAATTCTCTTTTGATTCCTACTAATTAACTCTTAAGAAATATTAGAGGCTATAAAATCAGATTGTCATCTTAAAATGGATTATTTTATCAGTACATAGTTTGACATAAACTAAGTGTAGAACTAGCTCCTATAAGGTTTTTCCTTATTTCTTTTGATCCTCCCTTCCTTCCTTCCTTCCTTCCTTCCTTCCTTCCTTCCTTCCTTCCTCCTTCCTTCCTTCCTTCCTTCCTTCCTTCCTTCCCTCCCTCCCTCCCTCCCCTCCTACCTCTCTCTTCCTTCCCCCCTTTCTCTCTCATATTTTGGGTTTTGGTTTTGGTTTTTCAAAACAGGGTGTCTCTGTAACTGCTCTAGCTTTTCTGGAACTCACTCTGTAAACCAGATTGCCCTCTAACTCATGGAGCCTCTGCCTCCCAAATGCTGGGAGCCATGATCGCCCAAGCTGGCCTCAGATTTTCTATCTAGGCAGGGCTGTCTTTAAGTTTATGGTCCTCTTACCCTAGCATCTCAAATGCTGAGCTCACAGGCTTGTGCCATCATATTCTTTTTCAATTCTGTTTCCATGTTCTCATGCAGCCTGAAACTTAACCGTGTAGACCAGGTTGACCTCCAACTTAGAAATCTACTTGCTTCTGCTTCCTGAGTGTTGTGAATAAAAGTGTGCACTACCACATCTGACTTTAGATTTCCTTTTATTAAATTTTTATGTGATAGTGTACACATTTGTACCATGGCACTCATGTGGAGGTTAGACCATAGCTGCACGGCTCAGTTCTACTCCTACCATATGTGGGTCCTGGGAATCAAACTTAGGATGTCAGGTGCCTTTCCCAGCCTCTCATTGGCTGTAGGTGTTCTCATTTTTAATGCCCTTCTTTTTTTTTATGCTTTAGTCAATAATGGGCAAGAAACAAAAAAGGCTTTTAGTGATGGCTAGAACAGCTAACTAGATCATCAGTGGACTTAGATAAGTTGAATAACATCATTAGCCAGACTTAAGACACACTTATTGAACACTGTCCAGCATCCAGAGAATTCACATTCAAGTGCACGTGGAACATTATCTAAGATAGACTATATACAGTAGAGAGTAAGACAAGATTCAGTAAGCTTAAAGGACAAAATGGCACAAAATATTCTTGTACGTATTTAAGGTGTACAGTATATTTTAATGTATACATTTACATAGCAAAAATAATATAGCTGATCAAGTATAGCTATCCTTTTCTCATACATATTGTGTATGATAAAAATACCCTAAATGTACCCTGTGATTTACAGTATATTATTAACCATAGTCCTTATGTCTGTAGAGTTTCTTATCATATCTAACTGAAATTTTGTTCCTATTGCCCTCCATTTCTTCATTTTGTCTACTCCCTTGCTTATGGCAGTTATTCTGTATTACTATGGATTTCAGGTCTTTGTTTTTTTTTCCTCCTATAGTAATATGATTACTATTATTTATCTGTCTTTTCCTAGCATATTCTCCTCCCCATCCCTCATTTATATTTTACATCAAAAGCATAGTTTTTGAAAGTAACTATTTGAGTTGTCATAGTTGGAAAGAATTGCTGGAGGTCTGTCTGTATGAAACAAGGCTTTATCTATAAAATATAAAGGGGCCATGGATACAATGTAGGAAATTTTAAAAATCTAAGGGGAAATTATGTATTTTTAGTGACCTTTAATTATGATTACAGTGTCCCCCCTCCATTGTGGGATTGGTAACAGATTATAGTTGTATTACTAATTATAACTTTGCTGCAACTAAAATAAGAATTTATTTTATGTACTATTGTTAACTGATATTTATAGTTGTCATTATTTCAACATTTTAGGTCTTTTACTTGCTGCATTTTATCACTTCTCTCTTTTGATGCTTCTTCCAAGGCCACACACACACACTATCAAAACCAAAATTCCCAATAGTGCTATTCCATTTGAGCTTATAGGCGCCGATTACATTCAAATACCATACGCTTACTTTTCAAAATTGCAACTTCTCAGAACTTGGCAGTGGAAGCAAAAGGATCAGAAGATTGAAGTCAGCTTGTACTACATGAGGTTCTGTCTTAAAAAACACCAACTCACATATATTTCTTTACCACGTATTTGTTCTTTAATATATGCTATTTCTGTAGAGAGTTTCTCCTACAATCTTATTTACATCATGTGGTTCAAAATATTAATAGTAAGAAATAAGAATTTATAAACCTTTCTTACTTAGCAAAGGCTGTGTGCTTTGGCTAATCTAGTACAGAATCACCATGGTGGAACTGGAGAGTTCTTGTGTCTTCAGCTGTGGTTTCTTTGTGTCAGGTGTAGGCAATAGCACTGAAGGCGGAAGAGGAAAGGCAGGCGCAAAACTCTTCCAAGATTTTCAGATGTTAAGTAGAATCTGGACTCATCCCTGGTGTTTACAGCTGGACTACATTAGCAAAGAAAATAAGGTAAATTCAGTACCTCATTGTTTCAATGTTATTATTTTATATTCTCTATACTTGAAGCAACTTTCTATTTCACTAATTCAGCTTTTAGTTTAAGTTCATTTGTATACATTTTTTGTTGTCACTGAGGAGTCTTACTCTAGATCCCTAGATGACCTGGAATATATAACCCCAAGGGGGTTATATCCACAGTCCTTAATTTTCTTGTAAATTGAGCCCTTTTAACTTTTTTAGAGGAGTTGAGGCATGTCTCACTAACTGAATGCTTGTCTATTAAGCCCCTTAGTTTTGATCCCCAACAGCAACATATGTGCGCACATACACATACACTGGAAAAAATGTAAATATTTCCTGGGAATGCAGCTCAATAGGTAGAGTGCATAGCATGCATGATACCCTGGGTTTGATCTTAAGTAATACACAAACCATGCGAAGTGGCATACATCTGTAATCCCCGCACTTGGGAGGTGGAAGTAGGAGGATCTGAATTTCAAAGCCATCTTTGGCTATATAAGGAGTTCGTGGTCATTCCGTAGTACAAGAAACCCTGTCTCCACAAAAACAAACAAAACCCTTGCTGAGTATGGTGACACATATTTGTAATCTCAGCACTTGGAAGGCTGAGGCAGTTAGATCCAGCTTTGGGGGACTAGTTTTGCCTGAGACCTTGTCATAATTATTTTTTTCTATGTTTGAAGTAATTTTATGTTTATTGAAAGAGTGCTCAAGGAGTTCCCTTATACTTTAATTTAGTTTCTCCTAATATTAATATCTTTTGTAGCCATAGTAACTTATCTGAGCCAAGAAATTAACTTTGCTATAGTACAGCAAACTTTGAATTTCTTTATGTCTCTACTTTTCTTTTTGATTATCCCATATAGGACCTCATGTTCTGTAATCCTGTTAAATTGTCATTGTTTCTTCCAGTCTTCAATAGTTCCTCAGTCCTTATTTATTTATGGCAGTTAAAAGGTGAAATGAAATGTTTGAATTTCCAGTATATGTTGAAATGGGCTATTAAAATATGTGTCCTTTTTTGTCTAGGGTTATTTTGATGAAGATAGTATGGATGAATTTATAGCTTCAGATTCTGATGAAACCTCCGTGAGCTTAAGCTCAGATGAGTATGCAAAGTAAATTGAGTACTTTTATTACCTATGCTGGTGCATTCAAAGCCCTGTACTTGTGGGTGTCTTCTGAGAATTGGCTTCATAGACTTAATATGCTTTCCTAACATGAAATTTTCCTTTCTTTTTTTAGAAAGAAGAAAACAAAGGGTAAAAAAGGGAAAAAGGATATTAGCTCAAGTGAAAGTGGTAGTGACAATGATGTTGAAGTCATCAAAGTCTGGAATTCAAGATCTAGAGGAGGCGGAGAAGGAAATGTGGATGAAACAGGAAACAACCCTTCAGGTTCTTTGAAGCTAGAAGAAAGTGAGTGTGATGAATGTTGCCTTTATCATGGAACTTTGACTTAAAACCTATTATGTCATTAGTGCTTTTTTGTCCTTTATTATCCTAACAAGTTGATGCAAAGGCATTTCTTTGCTTAGGGTTAATAAGGAGCCTAGAATGAAAGAGGATACTGAGTTGCAACAAATGTCCAACTAATGTTGCCAAGTCATTTTGTTCTGTCTAGTATTTTGGAAGAAAGAGAAAAGGACAGCCAGTTGCTTACTTAAATGCATAATCCTGTGTGTAACTAACAGTTTTAAAGTAATATTGCAATGTGGTTGGTAAATTTTGTTTTATGAATGAATAGTAGAACTGCAATTCAGGCCAGAATATGTTTAATCTCAAGGCCTCTATAGGATTTCCACTCAGCTACATAGGAAAACAGGAAGCATTTCAGTTAATGAATTGTATGCATTAGAACAAATTTTAATCATTTAGTCTTTTTCCTTTCAAATTCTTCATAATCTATAATTACCTGCTTTGGTTTCCACCATAACTTGTGCTGTTTATTTTGTCGTTTTTTCTCTCTTATATGAAAGTCAAAGTCTTAGAGTTTACTGTCCAGTGGTTTCAGTTTTTCTCTCCCATGTATATATGCATATATATGTATATATATGTGTATACATATACACATATATGTATGCGGCAGACTTAGTGCTTAGCCTTTCTATGTTCTTCATATGAGCTGTTTTTAGAAGCTTTAAAACTGGAACCAAATATCAGAGTATTTCAAATCTCACACTTGTTAATGACTAAATATTTGGCATTGGGAAGTTCGAGAGCCATTCAGTTAAATCATCTGTGAGGAGGAGAGCAGTGTGGGTGACAACTGAATGATCTCTGTGATCGGAGAAGCTTGAGTGAGCTAAGGACTACAGCTGACTAACTTAGTGATTCCTCTGTAAATGCTTCTTTTTTCAGTACCTCTGTGGAATAGACAGGTGGCAGCCTAACCACAAACCCTGGATTCTCCAAATCAGGGGAGTCATGAAATTTAAACTACAAAATTTCCCTCTTTCATCTTCTCTTTGGCTACTCCATCCATTAAAGCAGCTTTATCAGCATTCATCTTCCAAACAGAATTAAAAGCTGTGATTATAGAGTTAAACAATGGAAGGCATATGCTATCTCCTACTGTGCGCTCTTCCTACCCCCTTTCTACTTAGAGCTCTGCAGTCTCTTGATATATGTGTGTGTTCCTGGGAATAATTGTATTGGAATATTCTTACTGAATTAGTCTTTTCCGTTAGGACTGAAAAGAGAAAGAATTGCTCAGTGCTCTAAATGAAGACCATGAAAGTCAGAGGAGTGGGGTAGACTTGAAGGGAGGCAATGGGGGTAAAATTGATGCACGTAGGAAATTCTCAAGGAATAAAATAATTAATTTTAAAAGTTACCCAACATTCCTTTTATCGCCAACAAGTGCAAGTGGTATGCGTAGCTGGGTTGCTTCTAGAAATGCCTAGCTACTTCCATTTGTTTTCAGATGTGCTTTCTGAAGCCTCCCCACTTTTTATATATGCCTGTTGGAAAGCACTGGGACAAGGTGTAGAAGGCAGTATCTTGTGTGCCTGTAAGCAGACAGAAAAAGTGTTGTGAGTTACAAAAGACAAGTTTTGACTGCTAGCCTAAGGCTTTCGTTTTTTAATGTTTGTGAAACAAAGTAGAAGTTATTTGTGTAGATGGTTCATAGCTTACATTTGTGCATATTTTATCAGAAGCGTTTTCTAGAATAGATGGTAAAAATATAATTTGTTCTTCAGACTTCAATAATCTTCATTTAAGAATACACCACATTCGTCTTAGTCAAACTGATTGTGTAGTCTATAAAGGAAAAGTTCTATTGGAGCTCACAATTCCACAGACTGAGGATCACATGTTTGGGTGTATGTAGGGCATTGTGCTGTTCACCTTTTAGAAAATGAGAACAAATGGGCACTCAATAGCAGACAAAACACAAGGAATTCTCATACTCATTCTCATAAGAAGACCCCTCCTTTAATTCCTCCTTTTTTTCTTTGATAGGGTTTTCCTGGCTTCAAACTCATGATCTTCCTACCTTACTCTCCTGAGTTTTATACGTGTGTACCATTATTCTGGTTTATTCATCCCCCTTAACAACATAACCATCTCTTGGGAATCAATTTAACACGAATTTCAGTGAGGGCATACTATGTTCCAATCCACAGCACCATGCTGCTGTATGTACACATTAATTTTCTGTCTCTCCCTACCCTTTCCCTTCCTTTCTCTGTTATTTTATGTGTACAGGTGTTTTGCTAACATGTTAATTGGTTTTTTCCTTTAAAATGTACACCATATGGTTACTTCAAATGCAACAGTAGTCCATTTATTTAATTATGTGTTTAGAAGGCATCAAGAAGTTTCAAATGAGTGTATTGCCTTTTAATTTACCATATTTTGTACCTTCTATGATATTTGTGGGGTCTAGAATGTTTATAAGATAGTAATTGGATTCATTCAGAGGCTAACACCATGCCATACATCTCTACACAGCACATAGTTGTACCAAGTTTCGACAAAATTATGTGAATATGAAATTAGAAAAATTAGTGTAAAGTATTTGCTACAAGTTTTAGTTTCATATACTGCTAAGGATTTGTTATTTTGGCTTTGAGACACAGTTTCTGTGCAGTCTGTTCTGGCCTGGGACTTGCTATGTGAACTTGAACTTGAGATAAACCTTCTTTAGCCTCCCTGCTGCTAGGATTAGAGACATGGCCTACCATGCCTGGCTAGAGTATATATTAGTTGGAGTAGACCATAGGTTTCTACCAGCTAAGATATGCCCCCAGCCCCACATTTTATTCTTTCAGATTTTACTGTAAGCTGTTATTACTATGTTTAGTAGGTTCAGAATTAGAATGGAAGGGTTAATCATAGCTCAGTGGTAGTCCACATATTCAAATTATGTTTAAATTATCTAGTAGATAATTTCCTGTACGTTCTTCTTTTTATAGCCTGTGGGATTTCCACCTCTTACGGTCTCTTTCTGAGCTCCTCAGCCCTGCTTGTAGGGTCTATCTTCTTGCATTCTGTCAGACCCCATCTTTTGCTTGCTATCACCTTGCATTTCTCTCAACCTTCATCTCCCCATTCTATGCCTTTCCCTCAGTGTAGAGCTCTTTCTCCTGTGATGACATTTGTGTTAACCCATCTGCCCCTGTCCTAAATATTCATCAGTCCCTTACCTTTCTTACTTTGGCTTGTTTTGCTTCTTTTGGTCTCATTTAGTTTTTTCCTGATTAATATGCTTACTTATGTTCTATTTATTTTATTTAGGTAAAACCACTTCCACTTCTAACCCAAGTAGCCCAGCTCCAGATTGGTACAAAGATTTTGTTACAGATGCTGATGCAGAGGTTTTAGAGCATTCTGGAAAAATGGTACTACTTTTTGAAATTCTTCGAATGGCTGAAGAAATTGGGGATAAAGTGTAAGTTTTTTCATTTCTGTATTATATAAATGAACTTTTTGGTACCCTTACTATTGTTTATAAAAAGTTTAAACAAATCTGATATGATTTCTTTGCTTGTAAAGTTGTAATTTCTTTGATTTTTGTGATGCCATGCCAGTACAATCAGTTACCTTCCTTATAAGGGGCTGTTTCTGAGTACATAGTCAAGTTTTTTCTTCAGTGCTTCAGGTTGATCTTAAACTCAGTAGTCCTACTGCCTTCACCTCCCAGGTAATGGGATTCATTGATAAAAGTCAAGTTTTGGTTCAGAAACAATAGGAATTGATAGATCAAATATGGGTAATAAATAACCAAAGAATGACTGCTAGATCTGCAACTGGATGACTGGTGGATTATGGTATTGTTTACTAAAATGAGAGGGCTAAAGAGTAAACAAGAGCATTAGAAGAAATGGAGTTCTTTGGGCCATGCTAAGTTTGAATGACATGGTAGTTATTCATGAAAGATGAAAAGTAGGAAGTAGATATTGGAGTTTAGAGCTCATACAAGAGGGGGGAAATGATTCTTACTACAAGTATGTTTTGTTGTTGTTTGTTAAAAATTAATTTGAGAGGTTGGGGGTATTGATAACTTAGTGGTGTGTAGAAAACTACTAGGTTTGGTCATTAGTACCTTCAATTTTTTTATTTAGATATCATCTGTCTTAGTCACTTTCTCATTGTTGTAACAACATAACTGATAGAAACAGCTTACTTAAAGGTGTAGAGTTTACTTTGGCTTATGGTTTCAGGAATTTTTAGTTCATTCATCATAAAGGGATAAGTATGCCAAAGGCAGTGTGAAGTGGCCATTTTCATACACACCAGGAAGTAGATAAAGCCCCATCTACCCCCAGTGATCTCTTTTTGTGATTATTGCATTTAAACACTGAGCTGAACTCAAGGAACCCAGTGACAGAGAGGGAGGACTGATGAGTAGAGGGGTTAGGACTGGGCTGGTTTAACCCCCAGAAACAGCTGACCTGACAAGGGTTAGCTCTTGAATCCCAGACTGTTGGCTGGGAATCCAGCATGGGACTGATCAAGACCCCCTGAATGTGGGTGTCTGTGAGGAGGCCTAGGTAATGTATTGAGCCTTGGGTAGTAGATCAGTATTTATCCCGGATATACAAATGGACTTTGAGCTCCCATCCAACAACAAGAGATGCACTCTCATCCTGGACTCCTGGGGGAGGGTCTAGGCCTCACCCTCCCTGGGGATATTGGAGGGGTTGGTGGGAGGGCATGGGAGGAGGGGAGGGACCGGGGATTGACATGTTAAGCCATCTTGCCAGACTTTTATTCATCTGTATAATTTCACATTAAGTGCTAATAAAGTAAGTGAAACCAAAAGAGCTTATGCAGGTAGAAGCATTTTTCTTTATCAATTAGAGATCAACTTCTCTTTATGATATTTGCAACTAGGAAGCATATTATTATATTGACATTTGTTCTTAATGGCTGTTCTTTACCATGGTACTTAGCTCAGTGATTCCTAGACTAGTCCTGTTTGCTAATCGGTTCAGGTTGATCTCTTGTCCAGCACTATTGTCCAAATTCCATATTAATAGCAATTAAATATCACTTCTAGGAACTTAAATTCCTATTAATAGGGACCATCAAGAACTTACTTTGTAGTTCAGAATCAATTGCTTCAGTGAAGTGTTTGATTCTGGGAGAATTCAACTCGTGCTATGTCTGTGTCTAGGCTCTGTTCCTGCCCTCCAGTGATTTAGAGCTGAGTTACCCTTTTGGTCATTTTTGTTGTTGTTGTTGTTTGTTTGCTTGCTTGTCCTGTGCCTAACATTCATGCAAATCTTACAAGCAGCTTTTTAATTTCTTCAAAGTATATCTTGTTGAGGCTTTGGGATTTTAATTATAAAATTTTGTGTTAAATTCATAGTTAATTAGGAAAGGTAATTACTGGGTTGATCTTTTAATCCATGAACACTAATCTGTTTTTTTTAAGTCTTGTCTTTAGCCAGTCGCTCATATCTCTGGACTTGATTGAAGATTTTCTTGAATTGGCTAGTAGGGAGAAAACAGAAGATAAAGATAAACCTCTTATTTATAAAGGTGAGTTATAAGAATGTTTACATTATTAAAAAATTTAAAACACTCACTTGAGCATATATAGACATTTTAAGGAGAAAGGAAACCAAGCTCCCCAGTATCTCACAACCCTGATATGCCAAATTAGCCTGTATTTTCTTTGTCTTTATTCACAGACATCTGGTTGGTCTTTTTCTATCTCTCATCTCTTGTTTCCCCCCTTTCCAACCCCCATTTTAAAACAGGATCTTGATGTTTAGCTAGGCTGGCCCAAAACTCATGATCTTCTTGCCTCAACTCCATGCATGATGGGATTACAGCATTGGTTATTATGCTTGCTTGGTTTGTTTTGCTTTGTTCATTTAAATCTTGTGTATACTTGAGGTCTGTAACATGGCATTATGGGATACAAATAGTAAAATGACTACTACATTGAGTTATATTAATGTATCTCTCATCCTGTTGTTTATTCTTTGGTGACAAGATTTGTTAAAATGGATTTAACAAAAATCTATAATACATAGTCTTTTATCACTGGCTTCTTTCAGTTGGTGAACTAATACCATTGTCAATCTATTTGTGGCAAGCGTTATTAAGTTATACTTTGTTTATGATCTAATATCTCGTTGTCTGCCTAATTCCACATTTTGGTTATTCATTCATTGATATTGTGTGTGTTCTTTGGGCTGTTGTACACACTGATGTTTTGACAGTTTTGAGTTTTTTGTAATTTAAACACTAATTCTCCAAACCCTTTATAAATAGAATTGCCAGGTTGTCGAGTAGTAGTTCTATAGGGTAATTCTCTGTTAAGCTCATTGAAGAGTCTGGAGATTTAGCTCAGTGATAGGGCATGTGACTTGGATGTACAGAGTCCTCAGTTTCCACTCTGAAACCACAAGGAACAAAAATCAGCCTGTTCGGTACCAACACATAGCAGGGAGGCAGACCTTGGAGCTTGAGCTTTTGGCTTAGGGTGTGGGATCCTTGCCACATTTGTCTGTGTTGCCTGTTTCTCTATGCTTTTCAGGTGTCTTGTCTACTTTTTCATGCTTCCTGTTGCTCTCCTTCTCCTCTCTCTTCAGAATAAAGTCCTTGGTTACTCTGATTCTTTTTTCATTTTTTCTGACAGGGTTTCATGGTGTAACAGCTCTGGCTGCCCTGGAACTCACTGTGTAGACCAGGATGACCTCAAACTCAGAGATCCTCCTGCCTCTTTAAACTCACTGAGTGCTGGGTTTAAAGGTGTACACCTCCATCACCTGTCAGTTACTCTGATTCTTAGATTTCAGAGACAGCTTGTAAATCACCATTTTTGCTCCAAGTTCTTGACTTTGTTTTGGGTGCTTTCTTGGTTTGTTTCGTTTTTTTCTTCAGCCTCCCAGGTGATAATATGTATTACATATTTTTTGATCACTAGTAAAGTTGATCTGTTCTTTTTTTAAACATGTTTATCAGTTTATTTCCTTTTTTGTGGTGGGGTTCGAGACAAGATTTCTCTGTGTAACCCTGTCTGTCCTGGAACTGGCTCTGTAGATCATAGTGATCTCGAACTCACAGAGATCTGCCTGGCTCAGTTTATTTCTAATTTTGTAATTATTTGTGTTTGGCAAGCCTTTGTTTTAGCTACTAATGAAGTCTTTTAAGTGACTATTATTACTACTTCTAGGATTGACACTGTGATTTGGTACACCTCATTAGAACATGAGAGCTTTGTAACACAAATAGCCCTAATTGCAAAGTACTAAGTATTTGATAATCTAAAGTTGTTTAAGTATCAGAATTTGGAACACTGGATTTTAATTTAGATTATCAGATTATTATTATTATGTAGCAGAGAATTCCAGAATCTCCAGTTAGGCAAAGTTCCAAAACCAGTGAGGGCAGAGGACAGCCTTGGTTGTCATTTCTCAGGTATTTTCTACCTTTTGTTTGAGCAAGGTACTGGGATTCAGGTATGAGTCACCATAGCCAGTGTGGTAAATTTCTTCGTGGTGTAATTAATTATCCTTTATGTTTCTGCCGAGTGTAGTGACAGAGTACTGTGATTCTGGTACTAGGAAGGCAGAAACAAAAGGGATTTTATGTTCAGTTGGCAGTCTCGGTTGTGGAGTGAAACCCTGTCTCAATACAACACTGAAAAGCAGGGGGATGATATACTTTGTACAAAAGAATAGATAGAGCTCATTTCTGTCTTCCTTTCTGAGATGGAACCTCCGGGTTCTGTACATGCTAGAAAAGAGTGTGCCACTGAGTAATCTCTACAGTGATGTAATTCCCCTTCTTGTTTTGTTTTTGTATGTGTGCCTGTACGCATGTACCTCTGAGTGTGCTTCCTCAGTCACTCTATCATATTACTTGAAAAAGGCTCTCTCACTGAATCAAGCTCCCAGTTCCAGCAAGACTGACTGGCTAGTGAGCCCCTAGCATCACATGCCCACCACCATACCCCACTTTTGCCTGGGTGCTGGGAATCAAAACTCAGATCCTAATATTTGCACAGCAGGCACTGAGCTGTTAACCCTGTTTGTTTCTGTTCCTAAATTCAGAGTCTCGAACTCACTCTGTGTCCTAGCCTGGCCTTGAAGTTCTGATCCTCCTTCCTCTACTTCCCAAGTGGTGTTGGAATTGTGTGCATATTAACCTCTACCACATCTGGTTTTATTTCATACTGAGGATCCAGGGCTCCATGTACTCTGCCAACTAAGCTACACCTCTAATGCTTATTTTGATTTTTGAGACTTATCTAGTTATAGAGTACTAGACTAGGCTGGCCTGGAACTTGAAATTCTCCATTAACCCTTCTAGTACTGGGATTATAGACATGTACTATTATGCTGAGAGAGAGTTTGCGCGTAGGTGTTTGCATATGTGAGCAAGTCCTTCTACCTGGTGGGTACTGGGATCAAATTCATGTTAAGCTTTGTGTCAAGAACCTTAGCCATTCAGTCATCTTGCTTTTAAGTGGTGCTCAAGGAAAAAAATCTGCCAATATTAGCAAATAACACATCAAATTCCTCTTTGAGTTTTCTTATTTCATTTTCAGGTGAAGGTAAGTGGCTCCGGAATATTGACTATTACCGCTTAGATGGTTCTACTACTGCACAGTCAAGGAAGAAGTGGGCTGAAGAATTTAATGATGAAACCAATGTGAGGTATGAAACTTTTTCTGTATGTATAGGTATTTTAGTTTAGGTTCAGTAAAATTGGATGTTTAGTATATTCTCTTATCTTCTCATTTTTAATAAATGATGTAATCGAGACCCAAACCAGGTCAATCACAGCCTTCACCCCAAAATTTGCTCGTGGCGTCCATACATTGTAGTCATTTGAGTCTCACTTCTTTCACTTACTAAAATGTATTGGAACCAGACATGGTAGGTAGCACATGATTTAATTCCAGTATTTGGGAGGCAGAAACAGGTGGATCTTTGTAAGTTCAATGCTAGCTTGGTCTACATAGCAAATTGCAGGTCAGTCAGGACAACATTGTGAAATTTTGTTCCAAGAATATATTTATGATTATTTCCTTTTTATGTTTGAATTCTAGGTCATCATAGGGATATAGACAGTTTGTGTAGCATTACCTTCTCAGGGACTTCTGAATTGTTGCCAGATTTTACAATTAAAGCTATCATGAATATTTTTGTACAAGTTTTTGTCATCAGCGGTATAGGTGTGATACAGTCTGAGGATTGTAATTGTTGATTTGTATGCTAATTGTATTGTGGGTGGATTTTTTTTTCTGAGACAGGGTTTTTATGTATGACAGACTTGGCTGTCCTGGAACTCACTCTGTAGACTGGGCTAGCCTGCAATTCTGAGATCCACTTGCCTCTTGTTTCCACAGTTCTGGGATTAAAGGCGTGCATCAGCACCACTGGCTAATTTAATGTTTATCTATCTAGGAGATTGTCAGTTTTCCACAGTGACTATGGTTTTGTATTCCTTTCAGCAATGTAAGACACTTCGAGGTCTGAATTCTTCTCGGGACTTAGTATTGTCATGTTTTTACAAAATCTAGTTTATTTATTCATTCCAAGTTGTTCACAGGTGTGTTGCACTGTTCTGGAGGAACTGCAATACCAGGTTGATGTGTGGGGTGGACAGAAACTGCTATTCCATCTCTTAGCTCCAAAAATCCATGTAACATACTCTCCTTGGCTAGAGCATACATCAGATATTAAACTGGTCGCAGACACTACACTTGGTTTTAGCCACAACGCTGAGAAACAATCCTGTGATTTTTTTTTTTACTAGCTTTTCTCCATTTGCAAATGATACAGAACCAACTCTAATGTGTATATTGATAATTTTTTATTCAAAACAATTTCATATATACTATATCTTAATCATATTCTATATCCCTATCCCCAGCACCTCTTAATCTTTAAGTCATCTTTAATTACAAGTTGTTGGAGGTTTTAATATTAATAATATAATTATAATCAATATAGTAATGCAGTTTTTCTTTGTTGTGGGAAGCTGATTTGCTTAAACCACTGTAGATAGAATATGCTGCGTGTGTATACTTTTATAATTTTAAAGTTACAATGACTAAGCATTTATTTTACATTTTCATTTGCAGAGGGCGATTGTTTATCATTTCGACCAAAGCAGGATCTCTTGGAATTAACCTGGTAGCTGCTAATAGAGTGATCATATTCGATGCTTCTTGGAATCCATCTTATGACATCCAGAGTATATTCAGAGTTTATCGCTTTGGACAAACTAAGCCTGTTTATGTATATAGGTTCTTAGCTCAGGTAGGTTCGTCATTTGCATTTTTTTCATACTAAACAGAACATGTACAGATGAAATGAATAATGCTTTAGGCATGCACAGCATAGGTCTCTTTTTTTTAGCATAGGTCTCTTAGAAAGAGACAGAGTTGAGAATATTTTGTAAATAAAGCAGATGTCAAGTTAGCTTCAGACAGAAGTCAGAGTTGGTGGTGATCCTAGCACATAGGATGTGTAGGCAGGAGGGTGGTAGTTTCAATGACAGTCCCGGTTGCAAAGTGAAGTTCCCATTTAAAACACAATCAGTCCCCCCTCAGAATTCAGATTTAAGAACATTCAACAAAATTAGAGCTACATTTCAAGGTCGTTTATGTTTGTAGAGTCAAGTTGCCCTTTTAACTGGCACATCTGTTTTAGGAGCAGGTCAGGCATATCCTCTCCATCTGCACTCAAATCTGGGCTTCTCTCAATTACATCCTGGGATTTACTGGCAGATCTTTACTTACTTGATCTTCCTTAGTGTAGCATGTGACTATAAACTCTTTCCTGTTCCTTAAAATGTACAGCTTCTTTATATTTTAGTTTATAAGTAAGGAATAGTATATGTCAACATACTAGCTTATATCGAATTGAAGCTACATTTGAGCTAAAGGAAGTTTTAGTTATTGTTAGCTTATTATATATTACACTAAAATCTGCTTTTTAGCATTATAATTTTAGTACCCATCTAAATTTTTATTTCATGTAACTTTTATTTTTGTTTATCCTGATATCTGCCTGCTCTTTGACTTTCAACAAATATAGAACTATCTCAGGGCAGCACACAGATTCATTTTGGTTAGATAATTTAGAATAACTCTTCATAGTCTAATTTTTTAATTTGATGACAAATTAAGATAAGTTTTCTTGAACAGATGAGGTCTGTCATGAATGGAGCAACACTGCTAGGGATTCTTTGTGGTAGCATATGACCTTGAAAATTTAGCATTTCATATTAACCAGTAACTAGATTTATCCGTAAGTTTCATGTTGACCAATTTTTCTTTATCTGTATAATGTTCCTTTTTTTTCCAAAGGGAACCATGGAAGATAAGATTTATGATCGACAGGTAACAAAGCAGTCACTGTCTTTCCGAGTTGTTGATCAACAGCAGGTTGAACGTCATTTTACCATGAATGAGCTTACTGAACTTTATACTTTTGAGCCAGACTTACTAGATGACCCTAACTCAGAAAAGAAGAAGAAAAGGGATACCCCCATGCTGCCAAAGGTATGTATAGTCAGATTATTAGGTTAACTAACAAACCAAATGTCAACAGGGACCAATGAAATTCTACTACTACAATGAAAGTGAGACTTCTGATTAAAGCTGTGTGTACTTCACAGCTTTTCAGAGACGAAATTTATATTTAATTAACTTTAATCTATATGTTCATATATGAAAAGATGCTCGATTGCTTCTCCATGTAACACAAAGAAGATAGTATTTCTGAAAAGCATGTTTTATGCAAATAACATTCCTAGCCCCCAGAAAGAAATCTGAACAGAAACTTGAAATCATTAAGACTGTATTTTCCCAAGCTTCAAATTGAGGGCATGTATATTTGACTATTAGTAAGTTAGCTGTCTGTTCTCTAACCTTCTTTTCTGTCATAGAGCAATTCGGAATCAGCAAATAGGTATATAAAAATTGCCCATCATCACTAGTCAATAGGGAACAGCAAATCAAAAGCATAATGAGATACTAACTCATACCTGTTAAGGTGACTATTATCAAAGGAATAAAAAGTAGTAAGTATTTGTTAAGATGTGGCTAAAGGGAGTACTTTTGGTAAGAGTGTAAATTAGTGCAGTATGGAGGTTCTTTAAAAAAAAATACAACCATCATGTATTCTCATAGTGTCATATATTTAAATACAAGTTTTGATATTGAGCTATCTGAAATCCCATGTCTGTGTTTATTGCAGTATTAGTCATCGTAGTTAAGACATGAATCTAAATGTTCATCAGCAGTTGAGTGAGTAAATAGAGTGGGATGAATCTTTTAGAAGTGATGGGTATGGTTATGGCATTGATTCTTGTGATACTTTCTTTCATTAGTGTGTCCATGTCTGCAAACTCCAAGTTAAATATATTAACTGTGCAAAGCTTTTTGTTTTCTAAAAGAAATTATGGAGATGTCGATATGAATTACTAAGAATTTTAACTTAGTCTGTATAGTACTTAAAAGTTGCTAAGTATTCTTACACATTACATGGATTGGTTAGTGAATGAATTTTTTCCAGTTGGTCAGTAATGCATTGAATTAGCACTATAATTCACATTTCTTCACTATACATTTATACTGTCTATGCCCTACCACATGCATATAAGACATGAATGATCTTTTATACATCTATTTTAAAAAGGAACAGCAAGCTAGGTGTGCTGGTGCACAATTGGAAACTCAACACTAGAGAGGTAGGAAGATGGGGTGTTTGAGCCCAAGGTCTGCTTAGTGAGTTCTAGACCACACTGTCTTCTTTCTTCAAAAAGAATCAACAAATAAAATAAAATAATATTTCACTGGGAAAGGGCCCCAAGAGACCATGTAGTGATTGGCCTCTTGTATGGGAAACTGGATCAGAGCTGGTAAGTGGTAAAACCATGGCCTTATCTACATGTATTTTTCTGGCACATCGTCTCACTGTGTAGTTTGTGTTTTCTATGTAGTTGCTATACTCCTGCCTCAGCCTCCTGAGTAATGTAATTACAGGGATTTAAAATTTTTCTAATATTTTTGGGCACTCAGACACACACACATATAAGTTTTCTAATGAGTAAAAGTTGAATTTAAAGTTCCCTGACACAGCATTTTTTAAAGAACTTTTTTTTCCTCCCTTGCTTTGTAAAGTAATATATTTGGACATAATGGGGCTTATAAGTATAGATCCCTATTCAGCCCGTACCACCATTTAATTACATGTGTTGTGCTATGGCAGCTATTGGTATAAGTGGGGCTATGATCTTTCATGCATAACTACAGCATGCCATTCCTTAAAAACGTATTCTGAGTTCTGTTCTCTGCTGCCTGCATTGTTTTACTGAGTCCGCGTGTGCGTGCGTGCGTGCATGTGTGTAAATATTTTTGGTTGTTGTTGGATTTTTGAAACAGGGTTTCTCTGTGTAGCCCTGGCTGTCCTGGAACTCACTCTGTACCCCAGGCTACCCTCGAACTCGCAGGGAGTTGCTTCCCTCTGGGATTAAAAGGTGTGCACCGTCACTGCCCAACATTGTTTTCATATAAACCCATTCTGGCCTTGAACTTACTTTATAGCCAAGGGTGACTTTGCGTTCCTGATTGTCTTGCCCTACATCCCAAATACTGTGATTAAGGCTTATGCTTCCATGCCTGTCCTTAAAGAGCTTGATTTTGTGGCAACTTCAAATTTCTTGGACAATAGTTTCAGGACACTTATGTGTTAAAGTAACCATTTTTTATGACTTTTAGCAAACTTTAATAAAAGTATTATTTTTGTTTTTATATTAGGAAACACTGTTTTAATGTTTTGTCTTCATTATGTTACAGAGTGAGTTTTATTTGTGAGAGTGAGAGCCTTGCAGATGTTAGACAAGCAATCTATTGCTGAGCATTCTCAGCTCTTAGCCTTTTCATTGTGTGTGTGTGTGTGTGTGTGTGTGTGTGTGTGTGTGTGTGTGTGTGTGTGTGTATGCTTAAAAGATTCAACTAGTGTTGTCATTGTTTAGGTCTTGTTTAACCTACCATACTTTTGTAATTTTGTAGGTACAGCTTCACTGTCCTATATGGAAGACATGATCTCTCAGCAAAACATCCTGGTCTTCTGGTTCTTACAATCTTTCTAACTACTCTTTCCCAATGTTCCCTGAGCCTTAGGTACAAGGCTCATCTCTAGATGAATAACTACAGGAAATTTGTGACTTCTGAAAGGAGAATAAATGTTCTCCAGGGATGAGTTCTCTAATTGGCTATCCAGAGCCAGATGGTCAGCCCTAAAACATATACATATGAGCAACCCTAAATGGACTCAGCAGGTTGTTCTTATGTATTTATATTTATGTATCCATATAGCAAGAACAATTAAAGACAGAATAGGAAAAGTATAGAAATAAAACAGGAAAGTACAAGGGGAGCTTAGAAGTGTAGAAGGAATGAGTGCGAGTGGCAGGGTATGATAATAGAGGGTTGAAGATCTTCAAAGTATATTATATACATGTATGAAATCATAATGAAATCCATTTGTTGTACAATTAATAGATGGTAATGAAAAAAATCTGGTAGAAAAGGAATGTTATCTAATTGCTATGGGCCATCCAGAATAAAACCACATGGACTATACTCAATAGTCAGAATGGACAGTTAGGCCTTTTCACTTACAGACTTAAGGTATTTTGTTTTTAACCCTTTGCTTTGCCATAGAGCAGAAAAGGAAAGGGAATATTGATGGCTATATTAACACAGGTATTTCAACCCTCTCAAAGTTCTTCAGTGAAAAAAAATAAGCATTGATATCTCAAAGGGTTGTAGTCTCTAAACACTATGTTCTGAGTGTATCCCACAAACTGAAAAGCTTAGTGTTGTTTTCATTTTTAAGATGAAAGAATCATTTTAAGAATCCAGGCCCTGTGGTACTGACCTGTAGTTCGAACTACTCAGGAGCCTGAACTTAGTGATCCCTTATCTCAGAACAGGAGAAAGCAAAATGAAGAGCTAGGTCTGTAGCTCAGAGGTATAGTTCTTGCTTAGCATATACAAGGCTCTAGGTTCAAAACCCAGAATAGAAAAGAAAAAAAAATAGAGAAAAAACCAAGGCTGGGTGAGATGAGTTTATTCATCTAGTTTGCGTTGAAGCTGGCTTTCAGATCTGGTCTGCTGAGTACCAATGCAGCTGGTTTTCTCTTTTTCTCTGCTGGGGATTGAACTCTTAGGACCTTATACATACTTAGGCAAGCTCTATACTACTGATCTACCCTGTAAGTCTGACAGTTTATACTCTTAATTTTGTGCTTTATTGTTGCCTCTCACCCCTCAAGAATGATTAAGTTACCAAATACAGGAAACATGGCAAAGGGCCCTCAGATTCTGAAAATTCAATGATGTTTTCAGGATGCTTTTGTTTTGTTTTGAGACAGGGTTTCCCTTTGTAGCCTTGGCTATCCTGAACTCGTTATGTAGGTCAGGCTGGTCTCATACTCAGAGATGTGTCTGCCTAAGCCTCCTGAGTGGTGGGATTAAAGGTGTGCACCACCACACCTGATTTAGTATGCTTCATTTTAACAAATGAAGATTTTAAAATTTAGAGTGCTTTCACAGACGATAATTTCATGCGCTGATACTAAGATTCTATAATGAAGTCATTTAGCTTATGGAATTTAAATTCTTCACATGTATGCAAATCTTTAAGGTTCACAAAGGTTTATTTTATGTATACTAATTATCTCAAAAACTGGGGTTTAGAGAATTTGTGTAGCCAATAAGGTTATAGCTAAAACATAAAGCTTGTTTTCATAATTGTATTTGCTGTTGCACAGAAGTGATACAGGGCTGGCACTGTGTGACAAAATGAGATCAGGTAGTCCAAACCACCAGGAACTCAAGCCTCCATCCCCTTTCAAGTAGAGCACCTTTGCTTTTATATGCTTTTAAGTATTAGGCTTCAGTATAAGCTTAATAAGTCTTTTTATCTTGCCTTAAATTTATACAGACATATAAAAGGACAACCCAGTTCTTTGGGAATGTTAGGCTGAGGAGTTGTTTGAAGAAGGCTTGAAGAAGTGTTGAAAATAGAAGTGAGTTCTGAGACCACAAGGAGAACAGGAAAAGACATATGTATGAAATAGCACAAATTAGAAGAAACTGAAGAAATAAAATCATCATATAGTCAGGTCACAGTGACAGTATAGAAGTATAGAGAAGTAGGTTTGGGAAGAGAAGAAAAACCACAAACAGGAATTGTGATCATACTACTTAGATTAGGAATCCTGTATGACTGTGGAATGTATTAAATTTTAAACAGAAACACTTTTTATCTTAGAAAAATAATTTTGTGCATCAGTGTGGAAAATGAACTGGAAAAATAAAACGGATGTTAAGAAACTTGTTAGGATACTATTAAGATGATGGAAGTAAGAGGTAATAGCAGGCCTAAAGCAAGGTGGTAAGTGGGGTGGGTACAGTATAGTTACTCAATCAATGTATTTGTTTCTTGTATTTTTGGTTGTGAGCCTAACCTGTAATGGCTGAGTTATCCC